GAGCCCGTGGCGATTGGATGCAGATGGAAACACTCTTTTCGGTCTCATACGACCAAATTCTCATCTCCTTAACGTAGTCAAGCATAGAGTCTTTGCTAAGCTCAAGTTGAACTGGCTGAGGCTCCCAAGGGAATGTGTAAATAAATATAGGAGTTGTCGCAATAGCGGCCCGAGCACGATCAAATGCTGTCTCAGGTGCAGTCAGAGCCATTAGTGGAATGGCAATAGCAAAAAATGCGCTTATTATGCGATATTGAGCAGTAAAAGATCCGACTTGATAAGAGACAACGCCACCCAAGAGTGGGGATGCCCATGTTGCTGAAATCGTGACGATGCTATGCAGAGTCGTGCGGATATTTCTCTCGTGTTCCTATTCCAGTTGTAATCAGTAGATGTTCTCACAAGGACAGTGGGTTGAAGCGGACATACGTAGAAGGTATCCTGGATACTCTCCAACAGTAAAACGTCGAAAGCACCCCAGCCGAATCCTTGCAGTACCCTAGCGCCCATACAAGAACCGTAGCTGGAATCAGCCGTCATATTCCAGAGGCATCCAGCAAAGATCAAGATCGAGGAAGCCAGATACACTGGTCGCTTTCCGACCAATTTCGCAACTACCGAGCTGATAGACCCAGTAAGGGCCGAAACCATCAAGGGCACAGCCGTCAAAGCGGCGACCCAGGTATAAGAGACAATATAATGGACAGCCACAACCTCATTGCTCGCAATAAGGGCAGTTTTCATTGCGCCTATTAAACAAGCCATGAAGAGCAGCGACGCCAAGTTCAATTCTTTTTTCCATTGTGGCCAGTTCTAGCAAATCGAGGTATGAGCCTTCGAGTCCTGGTCCCTGTAGATTTGGGTAACTTACCAGCGGATCTTGCGGATCATCGCTCGGCTGAGGCACCAGTTCAACATGGGAAAATTTTCCGCTTCCATATTTCGTCGGTTTATAGGGGCGCCAGGATATTGAAGTGAGCGAAGGCTTCTTGGTCGAGCCCGTCATAGGTCTAGGACTTCCTCTGAAAGTTGTTGATCGTGATTTCGTAGATTTTATAGATTTGGTAGATCTTGTAGACGAAGGAGATGTGGGAAGAGGTGGTAAGGGGACTGAGGGCGGCATAGATGGCAGATCGAGCGCCTTGAGTGCAGATCTGAGAGAGTGAACAGACTGTGGACGCCTCAAGGAGCCTCCAGGCTTGGAACTGCTTTGCTCCATCGCGAATTAAAATTTCCTGTGGCAAATTCAATGAGGTATTGTTATATCTCGAGTTGTTTGCTAGTAGTTGTAAGTGAGCGTCTTGGTTGGAAGAGATACCGGCTCATCTACTTGGTGCCGGGCTGGCGAGATTGCCTTGAATGTGCTTCTTTGTGTAAAACGAGTGTATATCTATATGGTGGTGCAAGAGGAGGGGACTCAACGCGACATCGGGACATGACAGCCCCGAGAGCACGGCTCTGGTGTCACTACTTGTATAATAGATGTACGCTCTAAACGCGAGCAGAAAAGAAGTGGGCGGCCAGTCGGAAGTGGAGGCAGGGGGGGAGCGTGATGGCACAAAGCCACCCACCGTTCGGTGAGGCTGCCTTGCATGGGTCTAGTTGACGGCCTGTGGATCTGGCATACGCATAGATACGAGCAGAGAAGTATCGCCAGGGGAGATGAGGGCATCATAAGACAAGAGAAGAGACACAACAAACGGTAGCATGGGTTGGTGAACACTGAAAGGGATGAAGCCCGTGGAAGCCACAGATTTATTCTCCTTCTAGAGTGAATGCTAATCGTAACTACCGGTGAAGTGGCAGCAGAGTAGGTGCTAATGCTGCAGTCATCATTTCATGGCCGGAAGATGGCTCAGCATCCCCGGGACTCCGGAAGCGCACAGATCATGGCGGCTGTGGCTGTTCTATGGACAGGGTACAAGCTGAGCAAGGCCGACATACGCCATGACGACGACGACAACGGTCGGTCCTGATCCTTGGCAGCGCCGCTGATAACTGTAAGCCAGACGCGTCGACCAATTGCCTCATCGTTGGACCTTGCATGTGCTTCTCCCTTGCTGACCAGACGTGGATCTGCTTTCATGTACGGTACAAAGGACGAGTGCTGTCGATCTCATGGCTGGGCTGAACAGGGTTGTAGCATGGCAGCGCGTTTCAGTTTCTGCAGGAGAGAAGAATAACAGAACCGTTTGCCACAGGGAGGCAGAGAGAGGGAAATCGATCTTTGAAGCAGATCAGACTCAGTTGAAGATGTCCTAGTATTTCTTTCTTCTCTTTTCTGCCTCCCTGTGTCTTAGGCTCGGGACAGGGACAGGTTGGTGAGACATATTTTTGGAGACGTCGTCTGCAGAGAAAAACAGGTTAGCAGGTAGTAATACTGCCACTCCTAGTACGAGCACTCGTACCGCGCACGGTTGAGGGAGAGATGGAAATGCTGGTCCGAAGTGGACCAGATCTGGAGGGATGGATGAAAGAGGCTGAAGCCGGGCCAGCTATGCTTGGGAAGAAAGTCCTAGTACCTGAAGCTACGGCCTGATGCGTACTAGCACCCGTTGTGATTGGGTGCGCGGACACGGGCTGAACAGTGGAGTCTTCCGGGCGAAGCCTTTTGGGGGCCTTCCAGGGAGACCAGGGGGTCTTTAGGGGGCAGCGGCACTGGAGCCCGAGAGGTTGGCAGCTATTATGGGGGCGGTAAAAACCTGCGGCCTCGTCCTCGAGACAAAACAACATCTTTGGACCCAGTGTGATCTTGCTTGCATTGTACCGCTACCGACGTATCCGTGCTACCGAGGCAACTCAAGCCATCACTGCCAAGAATTTAGATTGATGTACAGTCAGTAAAGATGTCTGGTCCGTACAAATACCCATCACCCAATGTGAGCAGATGTGGTATACGTACACGCGTTGGTGCCTTTCCGGGGTGGCTGCAGAGGGTTTGCGAAGAGTAAAATATGGACTTTACAAGATGAGTAGAAACAAACAAAGAGGTAATCTCATCGCAAAAGACCAAAAGTGATACACTCAACACTGCGCTACTAGTCCTTTGCATCAGCAAATCCTACGTACTTCGGATAATCCACCGCTTTTGATGGCTACCACTCCGGCTATGGTGAAATAGTGAAATAGAGTCGGGTAGCTTCGGAGTCCCCATCTCTCTTGACCATCATCCCGAGTCATAGAATTGCTGAGAGCCCAGCCACTATTCCTTGGCAGATGCGTGCCGTCTCTCACCGATTACTTGGTGAAGTTTGTATCTGTTGTGTGGCTTGCATATCGACCAGGCTCAGAGCGCCCAACCCTGTGATAAGACCACAAATTTGCTCACGCTGACGTCTAACAGGGGAATAATTCGAGTGGTAGTAGACAACAATTGGAGTCTTTGCTTTGCCTTGTGGAGACTACTAGTATTGGAAGTGTTGCAGCTACCATCATCTTCAAAGTCTCCTCAACCGTGCGGGTAGCTATAGATCGGGCCCCTTTACTCAATCTAGGACGATGCGTATCAACATTGGCGTTCTCAACAACTCTACTGCGCCAATCAGCGACTGACATAAATGCACGTACAAATCACAGCACACTTTTTAAGCGCCCTGATATTTGGAATAACCGGCTCTGTATCGTATCAACAATGATGTCGCACGCAGGTGTATATGTCTCAGTAGGGTTGCCTGGAAGAGATGCCAAGTGCTAACCTGTAGGACACCACCTCCTGCACGAAAACATCAATCACACAAGAACCCAGAAAGAAAAAAATTCCGAACATACGTAGAAGAAGCAAAAAAAAAAAAAGCTGTCCACCTGAGCGTCTTTGTTTCCAAGCTAATGCATGGCAACCTTGCACCATCACCCGCATCTCCAATATCACATCTCGGTGAATATGCCGTGTCACCCCTCCCAGCGGCGCAATTCCAAAAGCTGGGAGAAGGCAGCATTGGCTGGTGACAGATTTGGGAATCGATCTCCACTTCCAAGACTCTCTTGTGGTTGAAAATTTTCTTATTCGTCCTCGTTCAGTGGCTCTCTGAGACATGCAGAGAGGCTCAGCTTCGTCACCGCCAGATCAACGGCTTGGCTTACACGATCGTTTACGTCTATGGTTTCCCACTACCCAATAAGAGAAGTAGTAGCTACTACGAAGGATTAGTACCAGTACCAGCACTACAATTTCTTCTTCTTTTTTCTTCATCTTCTCCCTTCTTCAAAAAATTAACTCATTACGTAGCCATCGTGCTCACCACCATAAGCCATACGAGATTTCTTGCAGGGCACGGGCTGCCGCGTCTGAATCCTACTAACATGTACCTTGCAGACAGCAAAATCCCCCTTGCCGCTGGGTCTCTCTGTCCACCCTCCTGTTTAATCTGTATTCCCACATCTCTCTCAATGTTATGATTCACGTTTGTTTTGCCGCGACTGCGTGTTTACATTGACTTTTACCGCGTTCTATGGGCTATACTGCCGGCGAATATATAGTACTCTAGTGGGTATCCACGTTGTGCGTGCTTAGGTACATGTAGTGTTAGTCAGGGGCTTTAAAGTCTGAGGTGCTATTGTTCCTAGCAATTCAAATTAGGTAGGCGAGAAATCAAGTATTTCTTAAAGAAAATCAAGCTGCTATTGAGAACTGCGATCTTCATAAACTAGTCATGCTCCATAGCAACGGTGGCATCAGAGATCGCGATGCTCAACTTTTTCCTCCCCATCCAAGGTCAAGACAATGTACCGCCCTTAGACATTCAGCTTGCATCTGAGATGTCTAGCAAGAATACTAAGACATGTCGACAACAGGTTTTGCCGTTCAAATTTTGTTTACTTTGATCCTTGTGAAGATTCTTTCCTTCTTTTTTGTGGCTCAAATTGCTTTGTTTTGGTTACTGCCACGGGAATATGTATCAAGCAATCAAGTGAGTGTCAGCCATTTCAAAGTTAACATGTCAAAAATACATCCTATTCCAACACCTAACAACGCCGTAACATATAGCACTTGCCCTTTACACTCAGAGAATCGTAAAAGGAGCAATAATAACGTCTTTTCCAGAATGCGCCACATGCTGCACATCCGCTTCGTCCATCGCGAGCAGCAGCGTGCTCGTCCGCACAACCAGTTCTATTCATCATTCAAAGTCAGCATACAAAATCAAGCCAGAGGTGATTTCCACAAGAACATTGCTACTACCAACCTTCATAAGTCAGATTGTAAAACATGGGTGGCTCATCTTCCCAGATCGTTCCCCTTGCCTCTGGCCCTGGCGTCACCCTGAATCGAATCCCAACGTTCTTTGTTGTGTCGACCCATAGGATGTTTTCATCTTCTGATGAAAACAAACCAGCCGCCGAGATGGAGGCTTCTGTTACGGCGGAGGGGGAGGAAGAGGACGCCCCGGATTCACCATGAGTGGATGAGTGGCCGGGCAACATGCTGGCCAGCCACTCTCTAAACACGCGAATGACGCCGTCGCTGAAGTTGACGTGTCGTGTAAAGAGGCCCGGCCGAGAGCCGTGGACAACGACATTTGCCACCGCGCACAGTTGAGAGAAGCGCTCCCCTTCGTCCAAGTAGACTTCCTGATGGGCCGTATCCTCTACTTCTTCGTCGTCAGCGGCAATCTGCAGCTGCGTGCTCCCTCCCATCGTTTCCACGGACCACCCGTAGCGGAATCTCCTGCGTCTGTTGGTTTCTAATACAACCGGCCGAAAGCACGAGTATATCCTGCGCAGGTCCACAAAGCTGGGGTCCCGCTCGTCGATGGAGGGTCCATCGCAGGTGGCATTGCCGAGATACTGACAGCGCAGGTAGGGCGTGGATATTTTGGCACTTGGGTGGTAGCATTCGAGGATGACGCCGTGGTTTGACCGTGAGGGCGAAGCGACAAGTCGTCGGTATAGAATCTTGGTAGCTATAGAGCAGAAGCGGTGATTCACGGTGACGACTGGGAGGAGCTCTTTGGTGCTGAAACCGCCCAGTATACTAGCTAGCAGCTGTAGTTGTGATGTACGTATCAGCTATTCAAGTCTGCATACGACTGAAAGTTAATTGGCCATTCTTACTTCGCTGGGAAGATTCTTGATGGGAGAAACCGTGTCCGCCATGGTTGTTAGATGTCGTTCGATCGTAAAGCCACTATAATAGGACAGTACAGACGAATATCGCAGCTTCGAGTCGTCGCCTGCTTTTGCAGCGATGGTAGACCAGGCAAGATTCCAATCACCAAGAACAAAGGACGAGATGATCCAACATTGACAGATCAAAGGCTTATCAGCGGACCGACCCCGAACAGACCGACATATGGCGATAGCCTCGATGGGCGATCGCGTCACTGCCATTAGTGCGATAAGAATCGCTCCATAGTAATCCGCCTCTGTGGCCCGCTTCCCCGGGATGGCGGTTGCTAGCAGCGCGGAGATGATTCGCTGGTTGCGACGCTTGACATGAGATGGGCGGTCGATGTTGGAGGCGACATCGGAGAGTGGGGGTTCTGTTTGGGTGGCAGTGAGATGGCGAGAATCTGTAAAAATACGCTGCTTCTCGGAAAAGAATTATATTGTTTTTCTTTTTTTTCGCCGTTTTACAAACATTGTTTTATGAGATTGCAATGGAAGTCATCAAGTAGAATACCCTCACTTAGAGGTGGGCAGCAACGGGAACCTTGGATCAAAACTACCGTCACTGAATGTATTCGCCACCACTACTCCGAGCTACCCTAGTAGTAGTTTATAAGAGCAAAAAACTCACTATTTCAGGCGTACATGTCAAAATATTAAAAGAAATTGAATTGAGTTATTGCGTATATATGCTTCTCATTTTATCATGTATGATACCATGAGCATCCGGCTATCTGCTTCATTGTTTGCGCTTTCATCTCATCTGCTTCTCCTCGGCAATCGCTTCACCTTGCTCAGATCATTCCGCCCTCAAACGATGCATTTCAGGCTGCAGGTGTATCTTCAATAACGTTAATATCAGAAGTCTGGCCTTCAATTTTTTTCTCTTGGCTTCTCGTTCGCTTTTTGTGTTTGTGCTCCGGCCTTTCCCCTCTTCACCGGGCTCACCCACTCCATAATCGCATCGGGAATGGCATTAAGACAAGCAAATATGACCGGTATGAGAAACACGCGTCGAATAGCATTATTGTATGCTGTCAAAATAGCAGTGAGATCCTGCGGAAACTTTGCCTCTATAACCTGTCGGAGATTTGAAGCGCCGATGTTGATGATATCCCGTGGGTCAATCTCGGGCACCAGCGTCCGAAGCTGCGAGACGAGTTGGGTTTGAAAGATATTCTCAGCGACCGATAGGAAGATTGTACCTGCAAGTGTTTGAGTAAAGATTAGTGCCGAGGTAGATAGAGCAATGTCGGGGCCTTTAAAGACTGTTTGGGCCACCATGAGAGGCTGCTGGGCGCCGATGCCGATGCCGATGCCCGTGATGATTAGAGACGAAACCCTGTAGCAGAAATTAGAAGATGAAAATGTAGTCAAAAAGCCACCGACAGACATAACTGACCAAAGGCCGGTTCTCGTGTGAAGATCAAATGTATAAATGAGGCCAGCTCCCACCGAAGAAAGGATGGTGGACATGATCATGTTGGGAACAAAGTACCCAATTCGAGTTGTCTAATGAATCTGTAAGTTAGATCTGCATAAGCTGAAATGTAGTTGCGCATATTTACCAGAAAGCCTGAAGCTATGACAGCTAATGATAGACCAGCGCTCATTGTAAGAAAGTAAATGCCCGATTTATAAGCTGATACCCCCTTGACAGACTGGAACCAGATCGGAATATAGTAATTGATAACAAAGAAGGCAGTAAATAAGCAAAACATGAACATCATTCCAGCCATCATGGATCGTTGTTTAATAATGTGGAGTGGGAGTGTGGCCTTTATGCCCTCCTTAAACTGAATGTACAGCCAAATGACGAAAAGGATAGCAAAGAGGACGAGAAGAAGAATGATTCTCCAAGAGTTCCAAGGATACTGACTACCGCCCCATTGAAGGGCCAGTAGAAGACAGATCACCCAAGGAATTAGAATTAGTGTACCGATGAGATCGAATCTGTCGAGAAATCCCTTCAACGTGCCTTTAGACTTGCGATTGGGATCGGAGGGGATCTTGACAAGGAAGAGAATCGTGAAGAAAGTGACGGCTCCTAGAGGGAGATTAATCCAGAAGCACCATCCTAATTGATGGAGGTTAGCTTTATAACTGAGATGCAGGGATCTTGTTCAAATGCATATAGTACTTACTCCAAGTCACCTTGTCCGTAAAGACACCTCCAAGTGTAGGCGAAGTGATCTGCGCGATACCAACAGAACCGCCCATGGCACCCGTATATTTCGGACGCTTATGTAACGGCAAGCATCTCGAAAGAATCTAGTAGACTCATATTGATTAGAATGACTGGCATGTAGAATGGAAGACGCCCCTAGACACGGACTAAGAAACTCACAACAAGTGCCCCAGATACAATCCCAGCACCTCCTATTCCAGCCACTGCTCTGCCCACGATTAAAGCTACAGAAGTCGGCGCCGTGGCACATACAACCGATCCGACTTCGAATATGAGAAGCGCGCTGAGAAATACCCAATTGATGTGGAATTTGGCGTAGAGTTTGCCAAAGAAGAGCTGGAAGCAGCAGTTTGTTAGGAGATATGCGGAGCCGTACCAGCCCACATCGTCGAGAGAGTTGAAGTCGCTCGTGATTTTGGGAATGGCAGTAGCAACGATGGTGCGATCCTATGGGGGGTGAACACTTGTAAATAGATATGAATAAAAAAGGGGCCAAGATGGAGTTGAGAGAGCGTACAAGTCCAACACAAAGGGCAGCGAGAAAGAGACCGACAAAGACGATGGCCAAACTAACACCGCCTGGAAAGTCGACGGCAGGAGGCTTTGGAGCGATATCAGGTTTCTTTTCAGCATCTTTGTTAGGCGTTTGTTTGGATTCGTTGGCAATTTGACGACTTGCTGCAGGAGAGCCTGCATTGATACCACTAATAGATATCTGTTTAGCTGAAGGACGCTTCTTGAGATTGAGGAATTCGCACTCTTTAGACTGTTCCATGGCCGATCCCATCTGTATGTCAAAGCAATAGAATTTCCGTTGGATGCGAAAACAGGATATAGTAGTATAGGAAGAGATTGAATGGAACATCTAATATGTAACTGATGCATATTACCTTCCAGAATACTGTTATGTTATTTTCACCATGCTGCGATGCCATAATGTAACGCTATAAGGCTCCGGATGGTCTTGAAGACGAGGGCCTCCCGGGCTCCGGATGTGAAAATAAGAGCCGGCGCCGGTACTGTGTAGTCGGACTCATTCTAAATGTGGTACAGGAGTATTATCTATCTTCACCTCCATAGAAGCAGTGACAACTTTTGATCAAACAATCATTTCCGTATCATCACTTGCATCCACCATCGATCTTTCAGTCTCTCTTCAGGGCTAGCATTGCTAGTTGCGCCCCTCTTGGCATGGTGGACGAGCCCCTCTCCCCTCACCACTTGTCTCTTGTGTCTTGTGTATCTCTCACTAAATATTTCTAGGCAGACAGAGTTCTAAAGAAAAAAGAGATTTAAACTACATCAAACTAGCGTCGCAACCTAATCTTTATCCAGACGCCAAGTCTTGTCTTATTGGTGTATCTCCTTAGTGTGAGCTCTTGCATCGCCGACTGACTCACCCGGCAAAACCACAGTATCGTGAAAAGCTTTCGGTATTGCCTAGCCGCACTTATATGATCTTCATCTGCCCACAAAGTGAAAAAACCTTTTATTACTCTTTTCATCGCTTTGGGGATTTCAGATTTTCATCATCGTAGAGAAAAAAGAACTAGATAGAAAATTGACTAGATAGATCGAACAATGTCAGCCCCTCATCTCCGCCACGAAGCTCTCTCTCTCTGGGAAACCAACGCCCCGCTCTGGAACTCAGGCATTGGCGAGCACGGCAATAAATACTGGAAACGCCTCCAAGAGCCCTCCCTCCGACGCCTCCTCGGTCCCAGCCTCAGCAAACCGGGCTGCGCTGCCCTGGAGCTGGCGACGGGAAACGGCCTTTGCGCGCGCTGGCTCGCAGACAATGGCGCCGCGAGCGTCATCGCTACGGACGGCACTTTCAACATGTTGGAAGAGGCCAAAAGCTTTCTAGATGCAGAAAGGGCCGGCAAGATTAGCTTTCGGAAGCTGGACGTGACGGATGCGAATGACTTTGTGCCCCTCGTGGAAAAAGCGGCAGAGGTGATACTTTAAAGTCTTCGTTTGCTTGCTTGCCAATCTTCTTCCCTTCCACGTGTAGTGTTTATCAACTCGAAACATTCACTAACCGCCATTGTTCGAAATGACCAAACAGATTGGCGGTTTCGACATTGTCCTCATGAACATGGCTATTATGGATGTCGCCACTCTTGATCCCCTCGCAGATGCATTGCTAAAGCTGCTCAAGAAAGATGGCGTGTAAGTGCCTCAAATATCCATCAAATTTTCCTTCTAATGCTGCTACGAGCACATGGATGACTTCCTTGCATGCTGAACTTTGTAGCTTCGTTGCCACCCTCCTCCATCCAGCCTTCTTCACCTCTACCCATTCACGCAACCTCGACATCAAAATCAATCCTCGCACAGGCGATCAGGAAATCCTTCTTAGCAAAGTCGTGCACGAATACTTACACGTCGAACCTTGCAAAGGCGTTTTCGTTGTTGGGCAAGAAACGCCGCAGGTAGGTTGAAGCCTTGTGATAAACCACACTCAGCTCAAAAATGAAGATGATATTATGAGCATCTAGCTGATGGTGACAGTTTTACTTTCACCGTCCTTTGCATGAGCTTTTCGGCGTCTTTTTCCAAAGGGGCTTGGTCATGGACGCTCTTGAGGAGCCGAGTTTCACTAAGGAAGACGTCGTTCCTGAAAGACTGTACGCGACGGCAAATTTTACGCAGTTTCCAGCTTTGATGACATTTCGATGCAAAAAGATGTTCTAAGTCAGTTGCGAGAGACTAGATATCTGCCGGCGGGAGGCATTGGGCCCATCATATCGTGTATGGATCTTTGGAATCTACATAAAATAAAAGAATCCCTAGAATCGTTGAAAAGATGGCAGTGAGCAACTCTGTAATTTCCAAAATGCGTGACGTAGATTAGCAGAACATGTTAGATAGGTCTAGGCATTGCAATCAACTATATATGGTTCCTAGACTTAAGATCTAAGCTGCTCCATATGATCTTTGTGACAATACTACAGGTAAGAATCTAATTTGATAGGCCGCCGTAGATAGCTGCCACCCGCGTGAGGGTTGGCAAAAAAAAATATTACGAAAGGCCTATTACCAATCATCAACTTATAAATAGGTGTGTTGAAATCTCCAAGCAATTTTGACGTACTAAAAAGCGCTTACTGGTAAATAAGAGGAAAATCCCCAGAAATTTAACATGGTTTGGTCTAAAGCCCGACGAGATCTGGATCTGGATCTAAGCAGCTGGTGGGTCGACCAGCATTCGCAGCTTCTAGCACTTTTAGTGTGGAGGGGCAGCATGGATATTTTCAACCTCGCTCGTTCATTAGCTGCGTTGGACTTGTACTTGTCCATTGCCATTTGCCCGCTGCTGAACACGCAAAATGGCCCTGCCTCTGCCCTTAGGCCTGGTGCCTTCGGAGGTGGCGTTTCTGTGCGAAATGGAGCTCGTCACGGTCGTTCCACGACAGCGGCTCGAGAGCATTGAGCTCCTCTCGGTAGGGCTGCTCTGTCCAGCCCCAATTACAATTGCTTGGTTCTTCTCTCTCTAACAGCTGTCATGATCCTCAGGGCTCGACTCCCAGACTCCGTCCGCCTCATCGAGCTGATCTGCCCTTCTGGCTTGCCATCCTCCTCAAGAAGCAGCGACGCGCCAACATCGTGCCCCCTGCATGGCTCCATCCCGAATCCCTTCGCGAAATCGTCGCATACGAGACCGCTGTCGACGTCAAGGATTGGGCTCCCCCTCCGCCGCCGCCTGTCCGAGCCGATGGCAGAGGCAATTCTACAAGACTCAACCCCTACGGAGACGACGTGATACTGTCGCCGCCGTTTCTGCCGTCTTGCACTTCCTCAGCTCCGGCCGGAGCACTGCCCTACCATTGGTTCGAATTCGCCGAGATGCTCCTCGCACATGCTAGCGACGATATTCCATCCGCTTCTGAAGTCCGCTCCCTCTTACGAGATCTACAAGAAGCCCGAGCTGCCAAGATGAGATCCAAAGTCACACATCCTGAGAGCCACGGCGAAGGCGTTACGAGTCTGCGAGGTGTTGGAGCCATGGAGCTGGCTGAGAGCAGGGGGTTTGTCACTGGAGTGGCCGAGGGCATTCGCAAAATCGGTGCAAGCACTGAAACCATGCGCCGTGAAGAGGAAGAGGAGAATGGCCAGGATATGGATGACGATCTAAGCGACGACGACATGGGACTTTAAGCGCAGCAGATCCGATAATGACAGCCATCAACAAGCACAGCGAGAAGAAGGGAGCCGTGGTAGAAATCATGGTCGCCTCTCTTCCCAAGCTGCTACGACTAATGAATCCAAAGCTATACGACGTCGAAAAATGCGGATATTTCTACCGATAAGACGCGATGCGGGTTCTGACTCTTTTCCCGAAAACACCAAAGATATGATACCCAATACCCAGCCGAAATAGACCCACAAAGAGTCGAAAACACCGGGATCCCAAGTTCTGCAAGCTCCACTCGCGATTACTCCAAGTATTTCCAACTACCGCTCATCATGGTCGAGAATTTGCACTTTGGCGGCCTCTGAGTGCCGCACTGGGTGGCGCACATGGAACATCTTCCTATTTGCCGCTGTGCTGGATCATTTTCAATTTCTGCACACTAGCCGCGAGCTTTTTCGACGATGGTTGGATTCTCTCACTCTCGCAAGAAGATACGTCAAAAATCTCGTAAGGAAACGGCTGATGTTCCTCATCGCTATCATGAGCCGAAGTCGACGCGGTTGTCGTAGGTTTGGAACCGTACTTCTCAGGTCTGTCTTCGATACTTGTGGCCATGCTATCATCCAGACACCAATTCTTCTCATCCCAGCCCTGCGGCTCGCTACCAGCGCGCCATCGTCTGCGACCGCGGCATGGCTCTTCCTTAGAAGGCAGCTCTCCAGCCCTTGGAGTTTCTGATACTTTCAAGCTGGGTGAGGCGACCGCTGGAGCGGCATTTTTGGTGCCAGATTTTCGGACCTTCGCTTTAGACTTTTCGGCCTTAACGTTCGATTTTTGGACCTTGTCGTCGGCTTCACATCGGCGCCTTTTAAAATCGACGTCGGCGTCAAGTTTCGACTGAAACTGCCTCTTCTTGGCGGTACTCGGCGCGGTAACTTCGGCAAGGCTGAGCATACTTTTTGATGTGAAAATTCTGTTCTAAGCTGCACGATATTTAGTTTGGGAGCGCGTAAAGAATCTTTATGTTCATTTGACGTACAAGAAATGGAGCGCGAGAACAGAGATGAGAAATGGATATTGTTTTGGATACAAAGAAGCTTGGGCACTTTGTCTTGGCGGCCCTTTCCTTTGATACCTTTTGGGTGGGCAGCTTAATTCTGTTAAAGAGGGAGGATTGTTCGATTGAGCGAAAGAAAAAGGGACTGAACCCGACTGCTGTTCGCAAGTGCCACCTGGGTACAAACGGAATTTTCCAAGTTCTTACTACACAATGCAACAAGCGACTTTGGGCTTGGGCCATCTACACAAATGACTTGGTGGGCTTCTCTTCAAAGTTTAAAATAATCCTGTATCAAAGCCTCCTTTCGACGCAGTGTAGGTTTTACGATGAACAGTGGGGACATTACTGCTATAATCTTCAGCATTGATACTAATGTTATTTTGGACCCAATGCCTGAGTTTAATATTGAGGAGTAGACTCTTGCGATTAGAGACGTAAATAGTAGATAGCCCGGCCAAGATTCCGTTTGTTTATTCGATTCAACCGTTCTATTTACCGTGCAAAGATGATTCTGTCTCTTTGATAGCTTGCTATTGCACCACCTTTTGCTAACACCTGTTACTATCCACGGATCATACGGCAACTCACATATACGATTTTCTTCCACCAGTAATCTGCTATATACACCGGCCCGGCCACACTTATTCAATCTACAAGTCATACACCCAACGAACTCCTAAGCGGCACTATCAGCCATGAATTGTTCTATTCAACAAGTCTTTTACCCAATGGGGGGACCGACGGCCTGTTTCTTCTACAGCCAGCCAGTCAGTGAGCCAGTCGACGATTATATGACTGGCGTCGAAATCTGCTGTGATCTTCTCGACAGACTGTGTCTAATCTACGTGGGGCACTCATACGATGCTGAAAGATTCGATTCCGCAGCTTTTATCACGGAAATGGCAGCTCCTATGCCATGGCTACAGGTGGATGAGATGGATGAGACGGGTGATGAAGACGGCGAGGAGGATGTATACATCATCGATGCCGAAGATGAAATGGATATCGTATATGAGACGGACGGGGCCAATTTTTTCGATATGGGCTACTCAGAAGCAATGGATATCGTCAAAGTGGGCGATTTGGACGAGCTGGGCGATGTGGAAATGGTCATAGACAGCTGACTCAAAATACTAGTATCGAGCAAATCATTGTTTGGTAGCCAGCGAATACCACGTGTCCATTATGCTTTACAAGCAACCAGAAGCTTGAACGTGCATATTATACGCTGCATCGTATCTTGTAATTACAGTGCTATGAAACCATATTTTTGTTTGTTTTGTTTACTGCGCTGTGTATGAAGTCCAGAGCAACAACATGAAGCTTCAAGAATAGGTACGTACCTTTCATAGAGTTGTGGCTCAAGCCACTGCAGTCACATGACTCATCATGTACCAAACTCTCCAGCTCCGATAAGCTGTCCTTATCGCACTAGCTTCAGCCCCCCAAAAGTGGCCAGCTTGGACGCGATATCAGATCGTCACTCGCTTCAATACCGTCACTCGCTCGCTTCCGCCTCATCCACTCCTTGAAATTTGCAAATGACCTACTCCGCCGCCCTTTGAAACGGTCGATTCTCAGCCTTTGCATCTACTCTCCATCCTACATTCTCCACTTTGCCGAAACCAAAAAAAAAAAAAAACACAAAAGAGGGAGAGTCAAACCGCAATAACGCCAAAGCCAAAAGAGAGGGACACACCGAGCGAAAACACCAGGTAGCGTACCGCCAAGATGTTCTTCCTGGGCAATCTCGTCTACGTGCTCTGCCTCTTCACAAACGCCCTCGCTATTCTCTCCGACGACCGCTTCCTCGCGCGCATCGGCCTATCACCGACTACCTTCGATCCCGCATTTGGCCCTGGCGCCGACTCAAACAGCGTCAAGGCCAAACTCGTTGCTCTGATTGCTAGTGTGCGCATGGTTATGAGACGTACGTCCCTCCACTTGTCCTGACTCTTACTTCTTGTTCTTTCTGTACCTATACATGTACATACTTGTATACACTACCAATGGCGGATACTTGCGCCAAAACCTGGAGGCCACGCAGAGCTTCGAAGCTAACACTTTCTATAGCGCCACTGATCATAGTCAATACGCTCATCATCCTCTACGAGCTGGTCCTAGGCTAGATACAAAGAACAAGAACAAAGCTAGAAGTTTCTATTCCCAGCATCGCAATACATTTCGTTTCCAGCGATTTCCCACTGTACAATTACGACCCGACCACAGAATCAATCACATGTGAAAAAAACTGTGTTCACTTCTCCCCCATGAAGGCACCCTGGAAATACAGCGCAATACAGGAGTGATGCCATGGGATTTTTGGCGCGCGTTATCTGTTGGATCTGATGTTTTTTTTGGAGGATAACTTGTTCAGTCTAGAGATAAATTTGAGATGGATGGAATGCCTCAAAGCAATGTCTGGCTCGATTGTAACGCAGCATCTTTCGGGCATCAAAATGCGCAAGCCACACCATATTGACAACGCTGAAATTATACGGCTTCCACACAAGCTATAGTATGGATCGTGAAGCTCAATATTGGCTTGGGGAGGCAGATATTGAAGTAGCCATGTGTAGTCATCTGTGCGCATCATGATGAGAAAATACAACTATAAAGTCAAATCAAGGCCAACAATAGGTAGCATGCCTATCCAGTCAGATAGACTATGCTGAAGTAGAACTAATATTCAACTGTCCAAGTAATGAGACTATGCCTGGTAGTTGGCCCCTGAATTTCAGACGTTTTCAGGAAAAGTTCTTGCCGTCCAAGAAGATTGATTTAAGTTTTTTTCTCGATGCAGCGCCACTTCACTCTCCTCCCTGCTGTAGCTCTTGTAGTCTAGACTTCGAATCATATTTACACAGCATGAGCGTGAAAATACACGATTCGCCACAATGAATTACGACAGAAACTCTTGTTGTTCCCCTACCAGCCACTTGCTTCAATACTAGTGACACCCATTTCTAGGCTGTGAGAGTTATGTGGGTTTCTGGGATGATCACCCCAACGCACATATAGAAAAGAAGGTTTATCGTGGTCCACGATATTTGTGTCGATTTTGCGCCATGTTAATCTGGCATGTTTTTAATAAGCATGTGATATTGCTCACCGTATCAGAGATGCTTTTGCAAGGCGAAAAAAGATCGTAATTCGATCCTTATACAACAGCTTGAACTGCTCCGGATGTCGACCCATGGAAGTCACCCAAGAAGTACAGTGGCCATAGGAAGGCTTGAGAAGAGACAACGTAATCATATCCACAGACGTCCAGGGAACAAGGAAATCTTTAAAAGAACCAAGGAATGTATGTATAGCCCCTCTAAACCCTCCCTCTAAACCCCCACTATCTATTCGAAGTAATCCAGAAGAAATGAATGACCAATATCATATACGTGTAGTCATATAGTATATCCAAGAAGGAGAAGGAAAAGTCACCGGTAAGTATGCATCATGAAAGATGAGAGGTCCTGTTTAACCCAAACCTCTGCAGCCCGTTCTCTCAAACCACGTTTATCTGCACTCAGCAAATCTCCCACAGGGGCCGCGGCAGCTGTACGAGAGGAGGAACCGCCTTCTGCAAACGCGGTGCTTGCTTAAGGCCAACGTACACGACTCGTTGGGCATTGGCCAAAGTAACTGACCTGGACGTGAGGCCGTAATAATCTGCAACGGCATGCGCAAGCCATCGCCTAAATGGAAGCAAGCATTCGGTCAGCTTTGGACGCATACGCTATATAGCCAAAAAGGGGGGGCGGGGGGGTTTCAACTAACTTGAAAGCAGCAGTCTCCAAATCATCGCCAAACGAATCGAAGAGCAGTCCAGAGTCAACAGTTTCTTGTGACACCTCACGATGCGCCATCCTGTACTGCGCCGCAGCCGCCGCAGCCCTCTTCTGCTGCATGTCTCTCATCCTGCCATTCCGACCCACAAACACAATCTCCTCATCATCAGAGTCCATCTCTTCCGCCGCGCTGTCTAGATCCTCATCGCGGCCATTGTCAGCCTGTCGCTGTTGCTCCTCGGCCCGTCGCCTCTGCCGTTCGTTGGCCATGTATTGCCGCATTGGTTCCTCGAGCGCCTTGACCCACGTTCGAATGACCGGACTGCGCTTGGTCGACTCTCGCAGGTCGCGCGGCACCTCCCCTATGCCAAGGCCGGTGGCGCTGCCGGCCTTGAGCTGCTGCTTCTTGCGAGCGGCCTGCAGCTTGGCCGTCTTGTCTTGGATGCGCTGACGGACGCCGTGGTCCCAGAACTGGGCGAGCTGATAGGGGACTCGGTGAATGGGATGCGTGGGATGGACTTCCCAGTCGATGGGTTCAGGCGGCTGGACGTTGGGGACGTCCACGAGGCGATCTGCATCGACTTCATCATCAGCAACCTGTGCATGGAATGCCTTGAAACTTGAGGCTTAGCAGGGCAGTGGCTTAATGTATACCATTCTCCCATCGCCGACGCTGCCGGCTACCTTCTTTGCCCTTGAGGACGGCTTCCCTGCGCTTCTGGCTGTCTCGCGCAGAGGGCGGTCGACGGAGAGGCGTCACAAGAGCGGCCTCTGCCGAAGAGGTCACGATCGTGACCTGCTGGCGGCTGATTGAGCGCTTGGAGGGCGTGGCGAGGGCATCGAGGGGAATCGTCAGAGGAGATCCGGTGCCACGAGCGATGGGTGAGACGCTGAGCGATTGGAGCGCGGAGATGGTCCAGGCTTCGATGTCGATGGCGGAGTTGGGTGCTGCGGTGGCAGGGAAGATGTTGGCCGTCGCCTGGCTGGGAGGCGGCGATTCAGGAGGCGGCGGGACAGCGCTGTATATGGCCATGGTGGTGGTTGATGATATTGACGGTACTGGTGACTCTTTGCTCGCACGGGATGGAGATGGACGGTCGGGAGACGGTGCGGAGCCTGCTGTTTCGAAGACGAGTCTGTCCGTCTCTGTTGGAGCTGCACCTTGGCTGTTCGATTAGGGGGAAGATGGAGGCTCGGATCCCAGCTTGAGCTGACGTTGCTGCCGATGTACGCAATACTCGTATCAGTCACGCCGACTCTCCCCGTCTTATCAAGCCCAAGGCTGATGCCGCCATCGCGTCCCTCCTGACACAGTGCGGTTCCATCCCCCATCTTCAGCCAATCATATCCCAAGCGCAAGCCATGAGGGGAGGTTTACAGGCCCGTACAGAGGATTTCTCGCGCATAATTCGCGCGTAAAGTGGCAGTTTTGGAAACGGAGACAATTGCAATTGACACTGTACGTTTGCCCACAGACGCATGCTCTTGTCTCACAGCTTAAACACATATATAACCCGCTGACAGCGGCTGTATTAATCTTTCTTTAACCATCGCTCGAAGGTGTACACTCCTCAATCGACCAGGAGAGAACCGAGAACCCCCGCCATGTACATTTCTAAGCCGAATCAATTATTGAATTACCATGATTAAGGCATTAGCAGGCGCCTCAATTTACACAGAGATGTAGTAGATGTAGTTAGGAGGTAATAGAATAAAATATGCCGTACGCTTGGCTTGGCAACTTCAAACCGCTGATCCCGCATCTTTCTCTTATTGAACGACCTTGTTGATATTTATACCTATTAATATGATCTGAGGATGTTGAAATGCCACCAAACCCTGCACTTCTCTTAGTCACTGTTTCCACCGCGGTTTACAAGCTCGTGGAATGTGTCAGAGTCGAAACCAGCGCCTACCAAAATCCGTCTCACCGTCTTTCCCAGAAATGCTTCACATTCACAAAATGACACTTCGTAGTTGCATCTAACGCTGACTGTAGCCCACTTAGGCTTTGCGTTGACTCCAAATCCAGATGTTCGGTTTCCTTAAAACCCAAAGACAATGGCATAGAAAGCGGGGGACCTTTCCTGGTATCGCTCGTCTAGGGATGCCAGATGATGCCTCTGATTAAGAGGCAAAATTGTTGTTGAGGCGACAAATTGATATTAGTTGTATGCGGATGCCAGATGGTACCTTTAGTTGAAAAAGCAAAAGTTACTGTTGAAGCGACAGGCGGACTAACAGAGCGTAACTCCTCGTGGTGACTATAAATCAAGATGATCGATTTCCTTGAAAGTTAAATACAATGGCATGGACAGCGGGAGACTCTTCCTTGTACTAGTCGTACACGAAATTCTAGATGATGCCTTTGGTAAAAAAAAAAAAAAAAAAAAAAAACTGCTGTTAAAGCAATAACCCAAAACGCCTGTGTATAAGACGTATATCCTCCGTTTGCGGAATGAAAGAGCGCATGATTGATTTCCTTGAAATCGATCATGATAGCATGGGCAGCTGAATATTTTCCCTGTTACTCGTCGTATATGGATGCCAGTTGGTGCCGTTGGTTGTAAGTTGCCGCTCAACCGATAGACTAAGAGACCAGTGTTTGAAACCTGTGCCTTTGGCTTGCGAACTGATAGAGCCCATATCAAGAGCCATTTCGCCATAGTTCCGGCGTACAACAACCATTGAAGCGAGTATACCAGTCCCGTTGCCACGAATTCTGTAGTGTTCACGATGGGTGAGCCAGCTGATCAATATCAACGTGCCGATAACACTTGGAAATCGCAACGTTAATATAAAACCCCACAGGCGCCGCTGACGAGGATATCGTGTGGCTACTGCTGCTCATAATTGCTCAATGACTGTAAGCGAAAAAAAGAGAGAAAAAAAACACTGTAAATCTCCGACCTCAACCCAGCGGTCAAAGAGTCTCGTGCGTTGGGTCGTGATCGACAGTTGTTCTATGATGGAGGATTTCTTCCTCTTACAGGGAATCAGCAAGGGCTTTAATGCCTAGCTCAAGGCCGTTTTCATTGCTCCAGAGTTGCCTAGACAGGAGTTGATGTCTAGATGATATGTTCTTGTAGTGGCTCCTAGACCCAATCCAGCGTCTATCAGTGATTGTTTGCCCTAAATTCGTTATTGCCACGTCCGTGGCGTCTTGTGGGCATTTGTGGAATGCGTCGAAACCAGCGTCTACCAGCAATCGCCCACCCCAGATGTTGTGCATCCCAGCGCAATAAATTTCCGTGCCGTCCGGCAATTCGCCTCGTAGACCTGCTAAACCCAGACAGAATTCAAAGTCTAGGTGATGACCCCGCCTCCGTCGTCGGCGTGGTTGCCTGTGACTTCATTATGGTGCTCTGTCCTGTTCATTTCTTCTTGGGGAGCGGGCTGTGGCCTTGCGCTCTCTGTAGGGAGTTTGTCTTGGCCGTTTCTGCTTATCAAGAGCTGTGAGATATTCATATTTAGTATGTATACTGGATGTTGATTCGTGTTGTGGTTGAAGGATGTAGGTCTTGGGCTTATGGTTTTGCTGTGGGAATTATAAGAGAGGGTAGATATATATTCATGTCATCATACGTCGGCTGTTAGGGTTTCTGTTCGGGTGTCCACCTTATGTTGGCAGCTGGCCGTATTTTTTCTTATACCAGTCATACAGAAGTTTCGCTGCCTTATATCCCAGCTGCTGTGCGCGGAGCTATTTTGCATTTGCAATGTGAGAAATCGCGAAGCAAGCGATAAGCGAAAACTCCGGGATATAGGACTTCAATCGTGTTTCCATCAATTGGGCGGGCGAATTTCAGGAGCCAAATTAAAAGCGTTCCCATGTCGCACCTTCTGGTCTCCCGCGCTCTCACTCATTATTGATACCTAAGACTGTGATCTAACCATATTGAAGCATCTCCAGTTTATGTACTCTTGATTATCGCATCCACGGCAGCGCCCACATTCTCGTACTGGGTGTCGAGATCGGAACCGCCGCTCACTACCTGTAACAATCGACTACTCCAGATATTCGGCTTCACAACACAGAACCACTTGGCATGGTCCGCTTCTACCACGTCATCCAACTCTTGCCGTAACGATTCCAACCCTTGTGTGATGTCCAAGTCAATGTTTTGAACCTCCCAAAAGTCCAGAACAGTGGCTCCAAGTTGAACGGCAGGGTTTTTGAGAACGGTGTTTCTCGGACGTACGTTGACAAAAGCGATAGATGGCGTGCCTATTTTACGAATCATCCAGCTCATATCGCAACCATTTCAAACCTTATGCGACGTCGAATCAACGTTTTGAACCACCCCTCCCTCCTGGTCCAGAACAATAGCTTTCAAGCGAACGACAGGGTTTTAAAGCATGTTATATTCTTGAATGTATGGTGAAAAAAAAAAAAAAACAAGCTAGGTGGCGCCTCTATTTGATATAGCAAAACCCACGGCCCGAATGATAAACAAAGACTCCTGGTCATGGGAGTTCAGTCCTTGGGTTCCCAGCTGGAGGAAACATAATTTGCGGGAGCAGCAACAGCGTCTTTAAAATTGTCCCAACGTACATGGACCATTCAAGCGAGTATGCTAATGCGGTTGCCACAGATATGATCCATATCGCCGAGTGAATGGGTGAAAGACGCCGACTCCGGGATCTAGGACCCCAGTTTTGATTTTGCCAATTGAACTGGGCAGTAGCTGCGTCCCAGCATATAGCGACTATTCCTAAGATACACAATAGCAACAAGGTAATAACAACTGGGAAACGCAGGGCGCTGATGAGATTCCAGAAGCGTCGTTGGCTGATGATCAACTTGAGGCTGACGACAGTGGCATAGGCATCGGTCGCAGTTTTTGGGATCAACCTCAGCGGCCATCTAGGCCGGAGTGCACTGAAAATAACCAGGACACAGCCCGGAACAAAAGCCGGTGCCTAGGCCACTTGTTCCGGGGTGTAAAACTTTGTCGAATGTCCGGTACGTGATGTCCAGTCTCAGGATCACGTCCAACCGGTGCACCGAGAATGACCAAGACGCAGCCCGAAAAAGTTAAGAGCCCAAGCCCGCCAGAGTACCATTTTGCTTGGTCCGCTCCTACCATATCATCCAGCTCATGTCGTAGCGTTTTTAAACCTTGTGCGATGTGTTGGTTCAAGGGACGTCTGTGAAATTGCCATCATCAGGACAATGGCAGGAATCTCCGTCCAAACATGTTCACAACTCCAAGCGCAGTGAGTTCTTGCGAAACGTTGACGGTGTATCCATTTAACGTTGCAAATTCTTCGGCCATGGCTACCTGCGAGACTGCCATGATGAGAACAACAGCAGGTATCTCTGTGGCAAGATCTTCCAAGGCGTCAATCTGGCGAGGCAATGATGGAGCGTGTGCGCGAATGAACCCTGCGTAGAAACAACTTCGTTAGTAGCTGAAGGAGGCATGAGATGTATTATAGACATATCGGATTCAATCGGTCCCACTATTTGGAACGGGCCTCCGTATATGTAGTCTTCATGACGATTTAACCAACTGGTTGATAACGAAATGTCAATGACGATTGGAAACCGTAGTGTCGACACAAAATTCCAGAGGCGCCGCTGTGCAGGAGACCGCGTAGTCAATAATGTACACAATAGCGCAATGATTGAAAGGGGAAAAAACACTGCCGGTTGTTTTGACTGTTGAGATAGACTGGGTTGCGAGAAACAAAAAAGCAGGCCTGAAAATACCGAGATCACCACGTCTTTGGACCCGACATACAGCTAATATAGTATCAAGCCCGCGAAGGTGGAATACAGTCCATGCATCGGGGACATTTGGGACATCATCCCAAACGAAATTGATTGTGGAACGATAACAAGGCTCAGAGCGACTCCGGCAGCTGCATCTTCCCGAATCTTGAACCAATTGTACGACAACAGCCAAAGTAGTAGGGGTCCGCGAACATTGAATAAAGACCATGCATGGGTGAGATGTCACCACGCATCCAGCAAAGGTATCGCGGTCGAAACCTGCCTCTATCAGTGACCCAGAAATCAGACACATTGACACAAATCTAGCCCACCCGACCCCCTTTCCCTAAAGCATCTAGCTCACGACGTAGCTCGCATAGTCCCTGAGGCGGTGCACAAAGACGCGGAAATGTGAGACCCGCAAAGATCGAGTAAGCCCCGCGTGGGTGATATATGTAGGAGATGATTCCGAATGCAATGGATTGAGGAATTACCAAGACAAGGCCCTACAGGATTGCACCAAGCCAGATTTGTCAGTCGTCCGATTCATGACATCGACAGTCAAGATTTTGAAGCAAGCTTCAGCCATTGAGAGTATGGTCGAAGAGCTGAATGAGCCCATGGTCAGGTAGCCTCCAACACAAGGGCCAAAGAGATTGACAACTCCCTTGGTAACGAGCTCTTGCGAGTTGTTGGTGGTGTATCTATTCGACAAAGCCAGTTTCTGGATTATGGCTGCCTGAGAGACTGCTATCATCAGGACAATAGGAGGAATTTGCGTCCAAAAACGACTGATTTCAAGTCTTCGAGGTAACCAAGACCAATCCTGCTAGAAACGCCAGAGTCTGGGCTATTTCCTCTGGCGTGTAGTATCCGAGGCCTGAAAAATCGGTGACGCGGCGCATGACATCTACCGTAAGCAGCGACGAGATTCCGGTTGCCTTGACAGTTGAGTTAGACCGGGTGGCGAAACTAAAAAAGCAGGCCCGAACATACCGGGATTACCATGTCTTGAGAATGATGAATGGGCTTAGGACACAATCCCGCATCCAGCTCTTGACGGAAGTCTGCTGAGAAGGCATGGTGGATGTTGATCAACAAGAAGTGATGGATATTGATTAAAACAAGAACAAGAGAGAGATGTATGCTGAATGTAAAGAAGAGAATGAAAGATGATGGATGTTGAAAAAAAAAAGGGAAAGGTTGGGGGGACAGGGCAATATATAGTGAAAAAGACTGGGTCAAAACACCATGACGAGTCGCGACACGTCAACTTTTATTCTGCCTTTGCGATAGGCAGAACTAGGTTTGTTGTTACGTTGCTTGCTGGTAACAAATACTTGGAACTTTTACTTTGAGATTGCGCGGCTAAAGGGAAAATACCGTACATAGCAAGTCGGGCCACAAGCCCTGGAAGTAAACTTTCTACCTGCACGTCAACTCGATATAACCGAGCGTAAGATATGACATTGATCTACGTATCTATCTCCACTGATGTCTACTCTCGACTGACCTAATCATCTTGGATTAGAGCTTCCAGTCACCAACAAGCTCAACAGCAAGAGATTGTAGACCCCTAGGCCACGCGTTCGATCTGTATCAACTCCATGTCCCGACATAACTACATCCAATGCAACTTCATTCCTTTCGTAAATGGTGATTAAATCGACTCCCTGCATATTTCGTAAGGTTTTCTACCGCATTGTTTGGTTAGAATCATTCTACAATCTTTAAAAAAATAAGGTTAGTTTTTGACTATTAGAGTTAAATATACGGTTTACGGCCTTATTCCCTCGCGTAGAGAGTTTTCTTATCTGATAATGAAAAGTTTAAATAAGAGTCAAAACGCCACGACCGCGCGTCTGCTTTTCTTTTGGTTTCTTTTCCTATCTTTGCCCTTTCCTTTCATAATACGCGCAGTGGCTTTGATACGCTTTACAGCCACCCGCGGGATGAGATTTCTATGACCACGATAGGTGACCTTAATTGGCGTGGGTAAGCTGATTAGATGTAACTGGATAGATAGAGTGTATTTACATGAATCTGTCAACTGGTATGTAGGGTAGATCGCTTTGTGAGTGTCATGTAGGGCGAATAAGTAGCAATAAGAAATCAACTGGTCCCAATAACAGGTTACCAGACATGCTGTTTGTCTATAAAGTGCAAATCTCTCCTTTCTGTGTCAAATTCTGAAGCCATCAATATGCAATGAGGTGGTGTGCTTGTATTTCCCTCTCTTTGAAGTCCACTAGAGTTTGGAGGCATCGGGGGGTTCTCAGAAGTCTCTCTTCCGCGCTTGAACATTCATTCGCTTATTAAACATAGAAGCCCGCCGGTCAATCGAGCCGAAGATGTAATATTCTCTCTATGTCGTCACAGCGGCTACAATTTGGTACATACATCGGCGCCGTAATGCGGCATTTCTTGCACGTCCAAGGTTCGCTCCCAAAGGAATTTCTAAGTCCTGATAGAACTAAAAGCCATCATAGTACTAAATAATCACTTGGATCTTTGTACCTCGCCAGAAACTTTATTTTCTCTTGGATCAGGGCCGTATAAGTACCTGAGCTCAATGTTGACTTGAACACTTGGTCTGCCTTTTACTAGGTACCTATACTACTACTACTAATTTCTGCACATGTACCTATGCAGATGAGCTATTATTGTATAAGGTAAGGTAGATGGCAACGTACTATGCCACCCATCTCCGATTACCAAATCAACGAAGTTCAAAGGCCTCACGGATACTGGTCTAGCCATAAGTATGGCATTCCCAAAGATACGTCTGCAGCTCGTGTGCCAAACGTCCTCCACCGCTTCCGTCCCTGTGTACTACATGCACCGAAAACGGGCCTATTAAATCACTTATGAAACCTTAATCAATTTATGGATTACGTATCCTCGCAGCTGTAAAGCCTCATCAATCGCTTGGCGACTTAGGAAACTTCGCTAGGCAAATTGTCCGATTTTATTGAACCGATAGCTGTTATCTGAGTCCTCAATTAAACTCTTTCTTCTATTCTATCTGACTTTCCTCCTTGTGCTTTTCTTCTGAAACGTCCTTTCCGGCTATACAGCAATATCGATGCAAAATGAAGTTCTTACATGTGCTTGTTCTGATTGCCTTCATGCTGATGGCCCTCCGCGTCATAGCCGGAGAGCCAACGAGGTATCTCATCGAATTAAGCCCTGGCATACAAAGATGGGTAACTGAAGAAGAAAAGTGGAAGCTCGGGTTGGTATGTTTCTCTATATGTAACCATACCATCAGCTCCCCATATCGATATTCTACTGCTAACTGTTTTTCTTTTTCTAATCCGATACAGAGCGGGCAAAGATTCATGGATATCACCGACGCACAAGATACGGATTCAACGATTGTCCAAATCCAAAGTCCATGGGATGGAGATTTCCCCGTTACATTTCCTTCCAAGTGTCTGATGCAGGACAAAGTCAGACAGTTGGCTGGAAGGCTGTCCAAAGACGCGATGCGGTTAAACCTTCACAAGTTGAATGAGTTCTACAACCGTTATTACATGTCCGAATATGGACGGCTTTCATCTAGATGGGTTCTGGAAAGAGTCGAAGATCTCGTCAAGGAGGCTGGCGCTGACGGTACCGTGACTGTCATGGCCTTTACTCACTCGTGGCCGCAGATTTCGACAATTGCTAGGATTCAAGGTCGGACAGATAATACCATCATCATCGGCGCACACCAGGACTCTATTACTCCATATGAGCTCACACGTCAAAATGTTTCTGCCATTGGTCCCGAGGATGGAAGTGGCGCAGTTACCATTATGGAAGTCTTCAGCACCCTGCTCAATGACAAAGACGTCGTCAGGGGGCTCGCGCAGAACACTGTGGAATTCCATTGGTACAGCGGCGAATCAGCTGGTCTCTTGGGCAGTCAAGAAATTTTCCGCTCGTATGTGGAAAATGGTCGTAAAGTCAAAGGTATGATACAACAAGACATGGTGGGCTACATCCAAGGAACTTTGAACGCAGGTAAGCCTGAGACGCTCGGTGTCGTCACAGACTACACTCATTTTGGCCTCAATACTTTCATCAGGACAGTCATTGACGAGGTAACCTTTTTCCTTGATCAGCTCATACTACTGCTTCATTTCATTTCTAATTCCTCTTTCTTTAGTACTGCGATATCCCTTGGGTCATGTTACAGTGCAATTTTGCTTGTTCTGGCCACCATTCTGCAGCGCAGGCTGGTTATCCTTCTGCGCTCGTGACCGATCTCAGCGATTCAGCTTTTGATCGTAAATATGAGCATGCAAATACTCGTGATTACATCAAACTTATATCATACGATCATATGCTTCAGCATGCAAAACTGACTTTAGGCCTAGTATATGAGCTTGCGCATTTCAAATTCCCGAATGTCACATCTTAGGTCATGCCAATAGCTCAGCAAGGCAGTTAGGCCACATATTAAAATACATGGACGAATACGATTGCCAGATACACTCGGTGGCATCAGTGGCATCAGTAGCCTACGCTGCGGGCAGCTAAATTGCTGGATAATGGAACTGGGGTGCTAGATGACTTTTCCCTTTATAATTGGTGAAAGTAGCCTGGCTTACTTCTTCGCATTTCTGTTTCAATAATTTGTACTCCAGAGAAAATATCATGACTCGTAATCTATTACAAGCGTGCATAGTAGAGACAATTAAGATAATTACACGCCTATCTGCGTATCTACCTGAGCGTGCTCGACCAAACAAGGCGAGCGAAATAAGTAATTGCAAGGTATGTAGAGAGAGAATCGAAGCGGTAAATGCGCCTGGCATTGGCGGTTGACTACCCGTCTTTGAGGGCCTTGTAGAGACGGCGGATGAGCCACTCTGAGGGTTTTGAGTTCTTTTGATGGATCCACAGAGTAGCGAAGCGAGGTTGGTGTTCGCTTGTAAGATTTGTTTGTGCAATGAACATCAATATTTTACAAAATATAACATGAAATATTGAAGAAATTCACCATCAGTTTGTGAACAAAATTTAATTGAGAGGTACCTCGGTTATACGCAACAGACAGTGCAAATAATTAAGTACATATACTTAATAAAGTATAGTCAGAAGATTGTAAGTCATGTATGTCATCCGGATCGATGTGTTGATTTTCTTGTCGACTTTTGGTTGTTCTTCGATGAACTGCTGCTACCCAAGAGTATTCGGTGAAGCTCGGTGAAGACGGCGCTAAAACCGCATCCGGCCCCACTCCTTATCTTCACCTGGATTTTTTTTTATCAGTTCGCAGAGCAACTCTTCCATTCTACGCCACTGACATTTTGCCAGAACTACCAGGACTATTTATGAACGGTGATCGTTTATTACTTTTCGAAAGCGAGTCTGTATATTCGTGAAGTCTACTATCGAAACGATCTTTCTTTCTGTGATCGGCACCTCGCAACATTTTCCACATCATCTTCACAGGCGCCGTCATCTTCACAGGCGCCGTCTAATCTCGTCGGTACGATGTCAGGCTTCCAGATTCCTGGGCTAGGGCAGGCGAAACTCAACGAGGTTCTGCCTCCTCTGCCGACCGATCTTCCAACAGTGGCTTCAGGCGCCGCGGAGGAAGACAAAGAAATGCAAGACGCAAATCCACCTTTAGAAGAAGCAGCACCAGCGGCAACAGAAACCCACAACGAAGAAGCCACAACGACAGGCTCCGAACACCCTACCGTTCATGATACGTCAGATGATATGCCAATTGATAAACCTGGGAGCCCGCCATCTTTAACGTACGCTCTCGAAGCAGCCCTTGGTGGCCTAGACAATGCCGGCACACATCAACAGCCGCCAGCTAACGAGCAAAACCCGGCGCCTCTACAGCCCGACCAGAGCGAGCACCCAGAATGGGAAATAGATTCTTCGCCATATGAATCATCCGACTCAAGCAGTTCCGATTCATCATCCGACGACGACGACTCTGATAATGAAGGCTATGAGCCTCTGGGTATCGAAGAGACAGCTAGGATACTGATGGAGACAGAAGGGGGCTCAGATGATGACGGTGATAGAGGGAAGTCATCTGGATCTGGGTACGTGCGCACAAAGAATGAGATTCCTGAGGAAATCATTCCCAAACCAGACGTAACGATCACTCCCGAAATGGCTATTCAAGAGCTCGGAGTTATAGAGCACATTGTGGAAAACATCATGCTTGTCAAGGCATTCACTCCAGGAGAATACCAAGTTCTGGACAGCGGGTCTGTCTTGTGCAATTCAGAGAGAGTAGTCATTGGTGTTATTGCAGAGACGATTGGAAAAGTACTGCAACCGATGTACACGGTCATGTTCAACTCAGCAGAGGAAGTAAAGGAGCTTGGACTAGAGGTTGGCGCAACAGTCTTCTATCCCATCGACCACGCATCATATGTTTTCACAGAGCCTCTGAAAAACCTCAAGGGCTCAGACGCCAGCAATCTCCACGATGAAGAGATTGCCGATGAAGAAATCGAATTCTCGGACGACGAGAAAGAAGCGGAATACAAGCGCTCACTGAAGCAGAAGAAGAAGGACAAGTGGAAGAGCAGTGGCGGAAAGGAGGGGAAGCAGTCTCATCCTCTGCGCCAGGAAATGTCTGCCGATGGCGGCTTGAACTATGATGAAGAGGACGACGGGCTATATACGCCGCTTGCTCGACCTGCAGGCTACGGTACTGGCGGTCCACAGGCTGAAAATTATGAGCCTGCTCCTAGATCAAGCTTCCAGCGAGGTGGTCGGAGGGGAGACTCCCGAGGAAGAGGGAATCGAGGGAGAGGCTCAGGTCGCGGAGGCAGGGGAGGCTATAACCAACCCAGAGAGGGATACTCTCTTCCTCCCCAGAACAGCCAGAACCCTCAAGCATCTGGCTCGACAGGTAGTTCATGGAACTTCAATCCAGTTCTTCCCACCGGCCAGGTACCCTCTCTTCCTCAGTTTGGATTTCCTGTTCCTGGATGGCCGCAGCCAACGCCTGGCCAACAAACTGGTCCTCCTGCGGTACCGCCACCGCCTCCAGGATGGCCTGGATCTGTCCAAGGTCAGGCTCAAGCATCTGATCCTGGAGCATTTGTCAATCCGGCTTTCTTTGCCGCTTTGATGAGCCAGATTCAGGCGCAAACTGGACAGACGGGGTGGAATGGCCAGGCTCCGCCACCACCTCCGCCACCTCACCAATGAATACCAGACAGGGTTGGGAATGATTTGATTTTTTTTTTAAATTGGTTAGGCGTATGTAACTTTGGAAAATAGATGCTGCCTGTTAGGCGCTTGTGTTGATTTACTATATTAGAGTTTTACCGCCGTTTCATTCGTGTAGAGGATACTTTTTGCGTTGCTCTAGACCGTTAGGAAAGTGAACTTCCAAGTCAAGCGGAGGCACTGCGCGTAATAAAATATAGGGGAGAACATAACAGAAAGAAAAAGAAAAGAAAATGTGGTCATGATATTTTAAATTCTAAATTCTAATATCCTAGTAGACATCATATAATTTAGTGAATCATTTATCTCGTGAATCATTTATCTCGTGAATCATTTATCTCGTGAATCATTTATCTCGTGAATCATTTATCTCGTGAATCATTTATCTCATGTATCAATAATCTTGTGAACCATTTGTCTCGCGAATGGCTTAGACGTGGAAGAGATATTTGTCAACAGCGCTCAGATGCCTCAACTGGACATGGCAACTCTGGCGCACAGATAAGATTCTGGTGTTTATAGAGCGGCAAGGGGAGGGGAAAAATACTTCAATATAAGTGATCAGCCAAATATTGAGAAAAATCTACACCGCGCATAGGAAGCTGACTAGAATATTAAGACAAGAACATGAATTTGTTCCAGATATAAGCTGCGCCTGTATGTTTCACCCAGTGATCTATTCAGCTCCGTGCCTCTAGGCCGGCATCAGTCGATTTCTGGCGGAACAGACCGGGACGCCGGGGCTCCGCTTTAAAAAATCCGGCTTCTGACGAATCAGCGCCGCCCAATTTCCATCACAGGCACTTTTTTTTGCGCATTGGACCGTTGCAGCCTCAGGCCACTACCAAAACTTTCGGCAATTCATCGCACCCAGTTTAGCCCCAGAGACAGTCCCAGCCAAGCAAACGGGCGAAAAGACCTCAAAACCAACCACCACCGTCGTCTCTCTCCTTCTCCTCTTCCGCAGTGTTTCACGATGGTGCCTCTCGCAACTGCTTCCCGCCTGTGTGTGCGCTCGGCCGCCGTGGCCAAGCCCGCCGTGCGCGCGCTGAGCTCGACCGCTGTGCGCCAGGCCGATGCCCCTGCTCCCGGAGCAGCCTCATACACCAGTCCCTTCAAGGGCGAGGACAAGGCCAACTACATCCCCGACTTCAGCAAGTACATGTCCAAGAGCAGCGAGACCACCAACAAGGTCTTCTCGTACTTCATGGTCGGCACAATGGGCGCCATCACCGCCGCTGGAGCCAAGAGCACTGTTCAAGGTGGGTTCGAGTGTTTGATGGGCTTTCATTTGTGGGAGGTGGGGTGTTGGATTTGAAAGGAATTGGGAAACCTTGGAGAGCTACCTTGAGCTCAGAATAGCCATTGGAGCTTTTGGGACCTGGATGGAAGCAATCGGGTGTTCTGAATGCTGGAAGTTGAAGCTGAAGCTAACACGTGGGGCTCTCTAGAATTCCTCGTCAACATGTCCGCCTCTGCTGACGTTCTGGCCATGGCCAAGGTTGAGGTCGACCTCAACACCATCCCTGAGGGCAAGAACGTGAGAATACCTTGCACTCTTCAATTGCTCCACATTCAACATGTTCCAAAGCTGACCAATCTTGTGTTTAGGTCATCATCAAATGGCGAGGCAAGCCCGTCTTCATCCGCCACCGAACCCAGGACGAGATCGACCAGGCCAACAAAGTCAACGTCACTTCCCTCCGAGACCCCCAATCCGATGAGGACCGTGTCAAGCGCCCCGAGTGGCTGGTCATGCTGGGTGTCTGCACCCATCTGGGTTGTGTCCCCATTGGCGAGGCTGGTGACTATGGTGGCTGGTTCTGCCCTTGCCACGGCTCTCACTACGATATCTCTGGTCGGATACGAAAGGGCCCCGCACCCCTGAACCTGGAGATCCCCGAGTACGACTTCCCCGAGGATGACAAGCTTATCATCGGTTAAAGAGCGCGAATCTTGTGCAAAGTTTGTGGGGGGCTAGAAAAGAGACGGGAGAGAAGAAACTGTCTTGTCGCAGCGAAAAACGATGTAACAATATTGACGGACGAAACCCTGCGAGAAAACCGAATGGGTGAGGAGAGACAGCTCCAGGGGAAAATTAAAGTTATAATTCGTCATGGAATTTTAAAAAGAAAAGCCATAGATTCTCTCTGGGCGGCCAAAGTCTATAGTGGGGCAGGATGGAACGAGATGCGCTTAAATGAGGGAGAGACGGGCGTCTCATGTTGCTGGGAATGGGACACAAATTCCTTGTTTCTTAGACGTGAGCCATGTGCAGCATTGTATAAAATAAAAATATCATACTCAATCAGGCAGCTGAACTATGCAATGAAATCTGGGACTGATTAGCGTATAGACAAGATTATATGCCAAAAGTATTTGAAAGTTATTCGGATTTTTCCCCCTTTCTATTCTCTCATAAAAAGCTCTCCAAAATTCCCTTCTGAGCTATATAGACATATAGACATGTGATCGATTGGCTTACAGACAAGATGTTACATTGTAAGGCATTTGAAAATTATTTCTTTTTATCTATTCTCTCATACCCAGATAATCCCCAAAAATCCTTCCTCATATATAATCACAAAGATTAGTGTCCATGGCCATCATCCTCTTCCATTTGCTCCGGATCCAACTTAATCAGCGTGTCAATCCGCATGATGCTGATACAAGCCTCGACCGCACTCTTCAGCTGCCTAACCTTGCTTATGCTAGGCTCCAAAACACCCAACTTAATTTCGTCAACGACCTTGCCCTTGGTGAGGTCCAGACCGTAGTTCTTGTAGCTCTTCTTCTTAGCAATCGACTTCTCGTCCTCGTTAGCGTCGCCCTCCTGGACGCGCTGTGACAGAGCATGTCTGGAGCGCAGCTGGGCAACGAGCTCAGCGGCGTCCTTGGCGGCGTTGATGGCGAGGGTCTTGGGGATTACGAGGAGAGACTGGGCGAACTCGCCAATGGCGAGCTGCTCGCGGGATCCGACGGTGCCGGCGAATTCCTCAAGGTAGATGTGCAGGGCGGTCTCGACGGCACCGCCACCGGGGACGATGCTGCCGCTTTCCAGCGTCCTCTTGACGGCGCACAGAGAGTCGTGGATTGATCGCTCGATCTCGTCCAGCGAGTACTCGTTGGGGCCTCGCAGGATGACGGAGGCGGAGGACTGGGCCTTGGTGCCCTTGATCAAGATGCACTCGTCGTCTGAAATGCGGTCCTGGACAACCTCCTCAGCGTGTCCCAGGTATGATGGCTCAAACCTCTCGTCACCGTTCAGATCAGACAGTGTGCTCAGGAGGGTGCCACCAGTAGCCTTGGCAATTCGTCGCAGATCTTCCTTCTTGCATCTTCTGACACCCATGGCACCCCTCTCGACCATCATCTTCAGTACCATATCGTCGATACCCTTAGTCGTAAGAATGACATTGGCACCGGCCTTGAGAATCATCTCCACTCTCTCGATAATCATACCAGACTCCCGCGCTCGGATGGCTTCCAGCTGCTGGGGGTCATCGACTGTGATCTGGACACCCAGCTTCATCCTCTCCTTTTGCAGGTTCATATCTAGGATGGCAATCTTGGCATCTTGAATACGGGTGGGCATAGCCTGAGAAGCAACTGTGCAGTTCAAAGCGTAACCCCTAATCAGGACTGACTCGAGAGCGCTCTTTCCGTGAGCCTTGAGGAGGTTGACGGCCTTGACAGGATATTTGGCCTCGTTCTTGTTGTTGATGGTCTTGACCGCTTGGATGGCGTCGACAACCAGGTCCGCGAAGAAGTCGGAATCGGCACCGATGATTTTGCTGGACATGGATGTCTTCGCAATGTTCAGGAGAGATTCTCGGCCGAGGTTGTCGACCTTGATGCTGACGTTCTCGCTCAAGAATTTGATGGCCTCTCGCAGGGCAAGTCGGTAGCCGGTGATGATGGTGGTAGGATGGATGCGGTTCTTCATCAGCTCGTTACCCCTTCGGAGCAGCTCGGCGGCGATCAGAACAACTGATGTTGTGCCATCGCCAACCTCCTTATCCTGCTGCTGAGCCAGGTCCACCAAGATCTTTCCGGCGGGGTCTTCGACATCGAGGAGGGTGAGGATTGTGGCACCGTCGTTTGTTACCGTAACATCCTGTTCGCAGCAGAGTGTAAGTTAGCGTCGTGATTCTATATTGTGTCTGAATTGCTTGCTGTGCCGTCGGAATAGGGGCAGAAGCCTCTCCAAAGCCCGAATCGAGGGGCAGGGGTAGTCGGTGTATGCACTCACGCCAATGTCGTCAACCATCATCTTATCGAGGCCGCTGGGGCCGAAAGAGCTCTTCACCACATTGGCAATGGCTTGTGTTGCCAGGACTATGCTCCGTCAGTTAATACATCCATCCCAGCCATCAGAAACAGTCCAACGCACCATTTTGGTCTCGAATATCGGATCCTGAAATCTTCTGGCCGCCAAGGAAGAGGGTCCCGTTCCGGGGCTGTTCGAATAGAGCAGACATGATCTTAGCTGCTTGACCGTCTTTGCAGCCTTGCGAGGAAAGAAGGAAATGAAATGGAAATGGGGGGAAAAGAGTGGAGGGTATCAAGAAGTTCTGCCTTGAGGACTCGACCCTGGCTTACTTAGCCAAAGCTGCGAAGCTCAGTAATGGCGGCACTTGTCCCGCTGCCCCTCGACTTTTTTGCCGGAAGCAGAGATTCTCCCAGCTCCGGCGCCGCGCTACGATAAGGCCCAACGCAGCAGCTCTCGCAGCGCTCAGGCCCCCAAAGCCATAGCGCTGCGGGCCCTGATTGGGCGAGCGTTTAGGGGCCTTGAAATTTACCCTGCTAAGGCCTGCGCTGCCCCTCCTTTCTGAAGGAGGGACACTGATAGCGGGGCAGCCGATTAGCCCTCCCTCGAGAAAGCCATTGACTCTTCTCGTGACTCTGGTTTTAGGCCGACTGACTCTTTCTCTTTCGTTGCGCATCCTGCAATAGCGACTCAGGATTAGACTGTCTTTGCACTTGGGAGCAGTTTCTGTGTTATTTGATAAAAGGTATGCTTCTTTCCCTTTTCAGATTGGAAATTTTATGAGTGAGAAGCTGGATTTGAACCCCCGACTGACGCCTACCAAAAGTTGTAGACGAAAAAGCATTTTGCCTATAAAATTACACCATGGAGAACGCCGCCGACCAGCCCAAGGAGCCCTCCAAGAGCGCCTTGAAGAAGGCCGAGAAGCAGGCCAAGATGGCCGCCGACAAGGCCGCTAAGGCCGCTAAGCAGGCTGCCCTCCCCGTTGTGGGTGGAAAGAAGACCGACGATATCATTGGTATCACCGTCACCAAGGCAGAGAACTTCCCAGCATGGTATCAAGAGGTTGTCCTCAAGGGCGAGATGGTCGAATACTACCAGGAGATTTCTGGCTTCTTCGTCCTGCGTCCTCTGTCAATGCATATCTGGAACGTCATCCGAAAATGGTTCCAGGAGCGCATCGAGCTTATGGGTGTTGAGGAGACCAGCTTCCCCATGTTCCTGTCCTCCAAGTCACTGGAGAAGGAGAAGGATCACGTCGAGGGCTTTGCCCCCGAATTGGCTTGGGTTACGAAAGCGTAAGTGCTATATACATCGTATATCTTCAAGTTGTTTGTACTAAATTCAACGCAGTGGTGACAAGGATCTCGAAGTCCCTGTCGCAATCCGCCCTACCTCCGAAGCCGTCATGTACCCTTACTACTCCAAGTGGATTCGAAGCCACCGAGATCTCCCCCTTCGATTGAACCAGTGGAACTCTGTTGTTCGGTGGGAGGCTAAGCAGACCACTCCTTTCCTTCGAACAAGAGAATTTCTCTGGCAGGAGGGCCACACTGCCCACCTGACCGAGGAGCTTGCTGGAAAGGAAGTTTTGGAGATTCTGGAGCTATATGCTGGCGTCTACGAGCAGCTTCTGGCTGTCCCCGTTGTCCGAGGACGCAAGACAGAGAATGAAAAGTTCGCCGGTGGTTACTACACCACTACCGTCGAGGGCTACATTCCTTCCAACGGACGTGGTATTCAGGGTGCCACCTCTCACTGCCTTGGCCAGAACTTTAGCAAGATGTTCGACATCACCGTTGAGGATCCTGCCAACAAGGGTTCACACATCCACGTCTGGCAAAACTCCTGGGGTCTGTCTACCCGTGTCATTGGTGTCATGATCATGGTACACGGTGATGACAAGGGCCTTGTTCTCCCTCCTCGAATTGCCAAGACCCAAGTCGTCATGATCCCCGTCGGCATCAATAAGAGCACCACTCCCGAGGATCGCAAGAAGCACGAGGAGCAGCTTGATAGCATCAGGGATACCCTCAGGAAAGCTGGTGTCCGATCTGAGTCTGACTGGAGAGAGGGCTACACCCCTGCTTGGAAGTTCAACGACTGGGAGCTGAGGGGCGTTCCCCTCCGAATTGAATTTGGACCCAAAGACGCCGCCAAGGAAGTTGTCAGCTGGGCCAGACGAGACACTGGTGAGAAGGGTACTATCCCTATTGCCGAGGTCGCTACCAAGGTTCCTGAGCTTCTGGAGACTATCCAGCAGGACATGTACAACAAGGCCGAGAAGTCCTTCCGAGAGCACCGCCTGCAGATCACTAAGTGGGAAGACGTGCTCCCCTCCCTGGACAACAAGAATGTTGTTCTGATTCCCTTCTGTGGCGACGGCAAGTGTGAAGATCGTATCAAGGAGCTTACGACCCGCGAAGATACCCAGCCCGATGTCCCTGAGAGCCAAAAGCTTCCCTCCATGGGCATGAAGAGTTTGTGTATTCCCTTTGAGCAGCCTGAGGGCGTTGTTGCCGGCGAGACAGAATGTCTTAGCCCAGAGTGCCAGCGCAAGGCACAGTTCTGGACCATGTTTGGCAGAAGCTACTAAATTATGAAGAATAAGAAGGTGCATAGAAGGAGTTTTTCGTATTACAAAAAAGAAGTGGCATGTTGATCACGCCAGTGATATGACATACGGAATGATGCTTCACATGGGAATGCAGAGGGACAAATTTATCAATGACTTTAATGACTTTTTACTTTTTGGTTTCATCTTCTATCTATGTGATTGTGTACATGTATATACTGTCTATTGCCCTCGATCGTATCTGCTGCATGGCGATGGAAGCCTAGCACCACTCAAATCGCTCGTTGACAACCCAGTCTAGGTCTTCCGCAGTCCCTTCGCCGAACCAATTCAAGCTTGCCAAGTTCTTGGCATCTCTCACGACGAAGATACTCTCAAACTCAGCTGCGATCTCGACAATCTTTCTGACCCTGCCAAGGGGGTTCCAGATCTCAACCTTTGAGCACTCCCAGTCCTTGGCTTCCTTTTCAGCAGCACGGAAAATGCCCACAACGGCTTCAGATAGCTCCTCGTCAATGATGTCGCTATCTTCAACGACGAATCTCAGGAAACTTAGAACGTTCTTCTCTGGCTTGTTGGGCCCGCCGTAGTGGTTCCGCTCAAAGAGACCCCAGACACGAGAGCCGGTCGAGGGTGAAGTGTACAAGGCGCCATGGACGGTGGGTTTGCGACCGTACGCGGTGTTGCAGATGAATGCCTGGCGGTAGAAATGCCACTGCAGAGTATCAATGTCTGGTAAGACGGCAACCCGGGTTTTAGACACCTCAGAAGAATTGGGAAGAGCCATCTCCCTGCGGATAAGCTCTTCGTCTCGCTCAGTCAGGGCGGCTAGGTCCTCATCGCCGAGCAGCTTGATAACGGATGCGTCAAACTCTACGGGGCTTTCCTTTACGCGGTACTCGATTTGGGTATTCTCTAACGGCATCCACCCGTGTTTGGCATAAAACTCTTTGCCGATATCAGAGAAGAGAATGGAAAAGGCTGGCTCGCCGGACTCCTGCTGCTTGGCCGTCATGTACTCCCTCAGCAGCTCAATCATCTTGCTAGCATATCCTCTGCCCCGAAACTCGCTGTACGTGAAGACGCTGGCGATACCGTACGCCCAGACATCTCTGACAATCCCATCCTTGCCTCTCACAAGGGCACGCTTGCGCAGCGTCTCACACGATGCCAGCACGGGGCGTTCAGTGGTGTCCGGGTTGACGGCGGCGGCGCTGTCTGTGAGGATCCAGTTTGTGATACCACCGTTGCGGGCGAGCGGGATGGTGAGCAGATATTCCTCGCGGTTGAGATATTCCGGTACAGTGAGGCTGTTTCCCCATTCCGGTTGGCTGTAGGTCCAGGTACGGTTGCGTTCCGGAGGGGTTGGGTTGGTGAGGATGATGGTTGGCGAAGTGGAGGAGGGCAGGGCTGAGGTGGACATGGTTGCTGCAACTAGACTTTGAGACTTGAAAGGTATCGACAAGTACTACTAATTGTTGTTATTCGAGCAAAAGCCTAGATCACAGATTTGCGTCTCTGGTCTCTGATCTTCCAAGTACTAGGTACTACTACGTATGGTAGGTATGGGGCAAAAATGAGTCTTGCTATTTGACTACTAGTGTCTATCCCGCGTCTTCACAAGCAGCGGTCAACAGTTGCCGTCTAGTTATGGAACTAAACACAGCAAAAATATTCACCACAAAGCATAAAATTAGAGAAGAAACAAGCTTTGAACCCTGATTCAATTACGAGTAACTCGTTCTACCAATATTTCGAAAAAAAGGAAAAGAAGATGAAAAAAATGAATAATTAAAGGAAGCTCAATTATGATAACACCTAGCAGTATCACTTCCTAATACCCCGCCGGCCGAAACATCGGCGGCAAAGCAAATTCGGGATGGGTGGAGCATCCGTTTCAAACGGTGTCGGCGCTCAGGATGTGGCGTAATGAACAAAAGATGTGTATATATAAGCATATAGGGATTTCTATCAAGCATCTCGCGTAGCTTGCAGAGTATCTGAAAATAGCCACCGCGGCGTGATAGCCCCGATGTCAGGATTTGTTAATGTTTCGAATAGGGGAAAAAAAGAAAACTACGATACCCATTGAATTAAGACTATTCGCAACATGGCTTCACACATCAACATCTCTAGTCATGGAGTTGTTATTTGGCCGTTAATCTGGGGCCAGTGACAAGGCTGAGGCTGCTGTTTGCTGCTTCTTGATTTCAGGCGTCAGCTTGTTAGGCACCGGTGCCTGTATCTTGTCAAACTACATGGGCCTACACTGCAGTAAAGATGAAAGTTTAAATTACAGCACTTTATATTCAGGCACTTTCCTCTTAATTAGCGCTGTAATATAGTGCAGCGGCTGCGGCGTTCCGCGGCTCTAAGCCACAGAGAACTAACGTTTTTTAGATGCTCTACAAATCTGACCAGATGCTTGTTAGGAACTCCCTGTATATGCTATCGGGAATATGAAGTATTCCTTATGAGCCGTGTGATGTGAATATTCCAACTATAGCAAATAGCATCACGATATCGCCGCTATATCCATCATTCATGTATATCTCACACTCCAATAAGCCAGCTATATCTCCCTCTCAATGCATCCTTCTAAGCTCTTCAATCAAATTCCGCATATCCTCTACGCTCGGGCCCAATCCCTCGCATACCAGCTCTTGTTTGCCCTCGTCCAGATCAAGGAACCGTTCAATCATCTCGCCGTCTACAAATCGGAAGGGAGCCTCACCCTCTCTGGACTGGTTTCTAAACGCTCGCCAGAGGTCAAACGACAGGTTTCCAGGAGTGCTGATATACTCCTGTAGCCTTGACTGGAAAGTCATGAGCAGATCTTGGTATTTTGGAGCAATATCGCCGTAAAGGTAAAGCGTGCCCTCGATCTGACAAATGTATTAGTACCAACTGAGAACATCTTCTTTCAGGTAAATATATTCATAAACTTACCGAGCCCAGAAATGCTTTTGGCACCACAATAGCATTTTCCCCTGGCGCAACTTGCAGCTTTCGAATCCGGTTGATCTGTTCTCCAATGTTGAGCTCGCTGATGACCTGGAGCTGGCTTTGATCTTGTTCCGTTGGGGCTTCCAGGTTCTGTCTCAGCACAATGATGTTGCCTTGAGCATCTGCTTCCAGCCACCTGGAATCATCCAGTGCGCTGATTGACGTAGTCCATGCTTGCTGATAATGTCTTGCCTTCTCCTCCAGCTTGGCCTTCTTGCCGTCCTGGGGTGGTGTGAATTCGACAAGGGTGAGGGACTGCATGAGATCTCCAATGCCTATGATATTGCCTGAAACGTCTAGATCGACTGGGAATGAGGCAGGGCGGAATGATGCCAGCTTTGTTAGGGAGGCTGAAGTCGAGGTATCCTGGTTGTAACTATAAGCAACCACTGTCTTAGTGAGGCCGGCAACGATGTAATTATTCATCATCACAAGGCAGCGGCATACTCCTTTCAGGTTATGCGAAGCGATTTGATACAGCTGCCGTGATTCATCAACACCGAGAACCAGTATTCTGCCCTTTGTTTCACCTGATTCGGCTGAGCCTTGATCTGCGACAAAGCTCGTACCCACTAGGAATCGCTCAGTCAAGTTGCCATTAGCATCGGGTAGTTCAGCCCGAATAACGCATTCGACCAACTCCAGAGATGACGACGCATCTAACAAGAATGGTGTACCCAGCTCTTGAAAGATGATTTCGTCAACAAGCTTAATGGTGCTCGTAATCACTTCTTCGTTATTCACTAGCTCTTTCTTAATGCATCCTAGCCCAAAGGCCCTCAAACCTGGTGAATATGCCACTCGACGAACGGTTTCATACATTGGCAGGGCTTTTACATGTGTAAGCCTTTCGTTATCGACATGGCAAATTCTAATGTGATCCTCTGTCGATAGAACGATTGAATCTGGAAAGGCTTCCGAGTCGAACGGAGCAACGAATGTCGCATCAGCTGCCGTAGTCGCCGAGTAAACGATACGGCCTTGTGAGCTATATATCAGACTGGCATGCTCTGTAGTCGCAAATACGTTGCATATTCCATCTTCTCGGGGTAAAACGTGCAGCCGTGCAGGGCCGCTTCCCAAGGTGACTGTCTTTCGCCCAGATATCGCAAAGCCTTTAACAGAAACGTTGAAGCTTATGACATTTCCATCTTCTAATGCCACCAGCATAGTTGGACCGGAGCTTTCAGGAGGATGCAGCTGGACCAGTGCCACATCTCGCGGGACAGAGGCACTGTCATCAGTCTGTCTTAGAGGCTCGCCGTGCAGTGGTGTCAAGGTAGCCATATCCACAACCGATATCGTACCTGAAGTCCACCAGCCGACTACACCAAAGTCTTGTGGGTCGCGCGCTGCATGAATGCAAGATATTTGATCCGGTTGCCCAGACACCGAGTCTTGGGAAGCGTCTTTAGTAGTCGCTTTCAAGTTATCTAGGAGATTCAAAGACACCAATATCGATCCATCCACGGATAGCAGAGCCCATTTGGTATTGGCAGACGCCGCCGTAATGGTTTTGCCTTCAGGTGCCTGCCATGAGGATACCGAAACTCCGCTGTCGGGATCCAAAATATTGACCGCTTGAGGCGTTATCTGCAAAACCTGACCGCTTGGAAGATTTGCAGCCAAAAGAGTTGGTGATTCGAGGTCCATGCCTTGGAAGGAAAATAGCTCTTCAATATTGTCTGGTTCAAACCGGAGGACCCGAGTACCAGCAAGGGTAGAGATGACAACAGTGTCGGCCTTCGCTGAGTCCACTGATCGTAGCGTGAAAAGTCCCCTAGTGCCCTCAATTTCGTCGAGGAGCCCGCGATCTTCAAGGCCAACGCCACTGCGAATGCTTCGTAGGCTTCCATCCTGGTAAGCACCACTGCCAGCCACGATTCTTGCCTGGCCAGATGAAAAGGTGTTGCCAGACTGCGCATCTCCTTCTCTGTTGCCCAGATCCATGATGGTAAAATCCATGATAGGTGCGTTGTTCGATAACACTTTGATGAGACTCATTTGCTGAGACTCGATGTCAACGTGTAATAACTGAGAGTCGCCATGATGTGAGCCGATGAATAAGAGGTTATTTCCCATGTAAACTAGGCTCGACGCTCTTGATGTATATCGGCTTGAATCTCCAAAAGCCATCGGATGGACTGTCATGCCTGTGACTACGACGCCTGTTGATTCGTTGGTAGTCTTGATTTCCAAGAGGTCAAGGCGGCCGTAATCGTCAGCCAAGAAATAGCGTGTCCCGTCATATTCGGCCCAGGCAACGTAAATCTTGGGGTCTTCAAGGGTAGAGCACACGTTTGAATAGGTGAGGCTATCGAAATATGTGAGAAGTGTCTCTCCGACCACGAGAAGGCCGCCCAGGTGTGCTCTAGCTCCCTCGTTGTTGCGCACATGGTATCGCTTCTCCTCATACACGGGAACGGGTATCAGCATGGACGCATAGGGGTCGGGAATCACTTGGTCCAGCTCTCTGTCCTTCTGTGGATCAAACTTGGACGAAACACCGCCTTTATCGTCTTCCGTCAGTCGATAGACAGCTATGCGAGCTTCTTCGCGGTCAAGCTGATTCTTATACAGGAAAGCAATTCTCGGGTGGCCGGTCCGGCTGTGGAGAAACGTGCTCGTCTTCATCCAAAGCTCGGTCAATCGAACCTGGTCTAGCCCTTCAAGTCTTGTGGTAGAGCCTTTGCGTATCCGTAGGCGAAAGACGTTCAACACTCCCTCCCAGAGATGCATTGCCATGAACTTTCCCGTAGGATCCACCAGGCATCGGTTCTGGCTCTGCGACTGTCGCATGTAAGGCTCTGCTGTATCTTCTATTGCCTGCTCGACAGCATCTAGCTGGTTTGTTTCGGGATTCCAAGCTACATTGAAGTATTGGAGTCTATCTGTTCCGATGAACAGAAGATCAGTGGCAGAGTCTTTGGGCTGCAGCCGCTGGAGCATGTCTATGGTTCCGTGAATGACTTTTGTGTGAAGACAAGTCATTCCCTCCTCAGTGACTCGCCATATCTCCAATCGGTTTGCCTTCCTGTTCATTCGATACGAGTAAGTTAACGAAGCACGATCAATTCCAGGTCGTTGGAAGGACCTACGCGACCACCAAGTCTTCGACATCAGGCGACAGAAACCGGATGCGCAGGGCATGCCTGATGCTTGTTGGCTTGTGGACGGGAGCAACGTAGGCCATGGCGGGAAAATGTATGTATACTTCCAAGTAGATGAGGATCGAATGCTCTATTCGAGGCCAGCACGACCTACATGGAAAGGGACAACAGCTATGGTGAGTCCAAGATGCGGCCTCTAGAAGCTATTGCGTCAAGCCAGGATCGCAGCCAAGCTTATCACTTATCGGAGATAGGCAGCGCTATATGTAAGCGGCTTCTAACACCTTGTATGGGGCTTTGGGGACTTTCGATTTGGCGGGGCTGGAAGCCACTTTTAGCGGGGTGGTGGCTTTTCGCAGCGGTAGAAACGGTCTTTACGGAGCTAGTGCAGGTTTATTCAGTGCTTTGCAGGGTACCTTGGCTAATAATGCAGCATCATCAGCACATTCCCTGCAAATCACTGCGATATCCACGCAACGTTGGACATCTATTCGCTGAGGGCGTTGAATATTATTTGATATGGATATAGAGATGAAAGCTTGCTCGTTTATTAGTACCATTTCGCTTAAAAAGAAAGCCAATTGCTGCGTCAAGCCACTGTAAAAGAGAATATCCCGACCAAAAATCAATAATTGGCGTTTTGCCTCATTAGGCAATTATATCTGCCCTTTCCACGCCTATAGGCTTCTCGGAAACCAACACAACTTCTTGTACTCTTCATTTTTCTTCCATTCGCCAAAATGAAAATTACAATCATTCATGCTAGCACTGCACACTTCAACATTTCTATGTGATCTAAGACATACTGACAACCAAGAAATACTAGCAGCTAGAATGGCATTCCACCATAACGAACCCGTCGCACAGGCAGAGTCAGCAGACGAATACGGCCGGCGCGAGGATTGCTTCAGAAATTACAGAGATCATCCCTTCACCTTTCACTTTTATCTAACAGACCTCCAAAACACAAAAGAGGTCACAGAAAGAAACGGATTGGTCTCTCAGCCGGGTCTGAAGGCAGGAGTACTCCCGAATCCGCAGATAGCTGAAGAAGTGCTTGACCAGGACCAACATCATCGAATGAACGCTGAGAGACTGCTTCGTGATTCGCCTCCGGGTTATGGTATACCAGCTGCTAGCTCTCATATCAAGAAATTGTTTGTTCCCGTGGAAGATTTAGATTTGGGCTCTTGCCCCAAGCATGATCTTCAGGATTATTTATGCCCAGTTTGGGCAAAAATATATGACAATCCTTTCCAACAATGGCTTCCATTAGCGACTACGAGGACCGATAGAGATGAGAGTTTACATTTCCCGCCTGTTTTAAGCAGATTACAATCTCAAATATGTCGAGAGATCGAGATCGATAAGCCAATGATATCAGATGCCGCTGCGGAGCTGGTACGAAAGGTTGACAAACCGATCACGGCATTCGAATTTCAAGACTTAATCAAGCGACAATCGAAATTTGGTCCTGTAAGCTTACTTTGCCTCCTTTACAAATTTTAACTTAGCCACTGATACAGTCATAGTGCCAATATAGCTGCATCGAACCTATCTCGCCCCCTCTTTCTCCAGTATCTGATGACGCTGTCCCGTTCATTCCTGATGGAAATGTGACGATTATTGACCTCGTGTCCGAACCAAATAGCCCCGATCAAACCGCAATTGAGGATTCAGAACCTATCGTCTCATCCACTTTTATGACTTCGTCGCCTACTAGAGAGCTACCTGAGCTCTTCCAAGCGCACAACGCTGTTATCGAAGAAGCCAAGGTAGAGTTACCTGTTGTCTTTACTAGTTCGAGTTCTCCAGGTAAGGAGAATACTCTTGCCGATATCTGCCTGCCCCTTGTCGGCCTTGAAGATGATGATACAGATTTGCTCCTGGAAAGAGGGCATTTCGAAGATGCCTTTATGACGCTGCTTGACGACCGGCAGTATCATGCCAATAAGTTGGTGGGCCAGGAGCGCTTAGATCCAGCAGATTCTATATCACGCATTCCTGTGCCTTTGCTTGACTTTGGTATCCAGCCCCCCACGTGGACAGGTCAATGCTCTACGGCGCAGACTCACTTTGCGTTTTTAAGAAACAGTATACCGAGCAGTTTAAACCTTTTACCTTCTCCAAAAGATCTGCAACTGGAGTTGAACGTCTCATATTCGGTTGTTCCGCCAGACCAGGGAAGATCAATAATGGCATATGAACATGGTGTCTCAAATGAAGCAGCCATGAAATATCTCTCTCAAGATCTACCATCACATCTAAGCAGCTTGAATTTCATTACTATAGGGCCCGAGCTAGAGGTTCTTGTCATTATTGGAGATGAAGAACTTGAAGAAGTCTACGTGCCGGAGGAAGCATATGTACCAGATGGTACGACAGATGATATGTCGCCTATCATTGTTGCGGAGCAACACGATAACACAAATCGCCTAAACTCATCCCAGGGAATCGGGTCAGTCTACTTTCAAAATCAGAACAGCCCTGACCTCAGCCGCTCGCTTCGTAGGAAGGCCGATAACTCTATGAGACTTCTACCGAAGTGTTACGATACAAGCGCTACGACTATACTTCTCCATAACTTCATGGAGCTGAAAGGCATAAAAAGACCCCGACTTGATACAAGATCATCAGAAGCATGTCAAACCGCAAGAAAGTTGCCGTCGAAATTTATAAACGAAGAATCTTCAACAGATGCCGCTAGAGAGCTACCCACCACAACCGCTGGAGGGATGGTTCCAGCAAAATTCCCTAAATTTGAGATACCATCTGTTATGGCCTGTTTCATTGTTTCAGTTGATCTGCCAAGGTCAATATTGAGACAATTAGAGCATGTGTGGTCTCCCGAAAGTTTGCTTGACACCGATTTTTCAGAGCATATTGCTGTACCGCGGCCTTCGGAATCTGCTCAATGCAACCAGACTACCTCGGAGTTGAGTTTGGAAGCTGATGTATCTTTGTCGCCTATTACAGGAATCATTGTCACCAATATTCTCAAAGTGCGACAGCGGCCTCTCCCTGGCTCTCAGTCTCAAACGCCGTTGCGCGATCGTGTGCAGAAAGTCAGCCAGAAATACGAAACTCTATTAGTCCTTGTGTCGGAATCGCATCCTAGTGGAGAGTTTTCGGGAGCATTGGCCCCGTCTGATATCGCAGCTTACGCTGACTTTGTGAGCTTTACCGTTGCACTAGATGGGGATATAAACGTGCAGCTTGTCCCAGGGGCGGAACAAACAATGGCCTCGTGGATTTCCGCCTACCTGTCTCAGAGCTCTTTCAAATCCCACGGTATGAAGAGGCTTCTATCCTCTGAAGAAACGGAATGGGAAATACTCCTTAGGCGTGCCGGCATGAATGTTTTCGCTGCCAAAGTATTGTCGAAAACGCTCTTTGAGCAAGCCGGGGCCTCGGGGTTGGCTGCATTTTTGACGATGCCTGTGCAAGAGCGGGTGGCCAGATTCGCACCATTGCTTGGTGGAGAAAAGGCTTTGCGCCTGACAGCCAAAGCGCTGGATCGAAGCTGGGCGCGGTAATTTTCTTACCATTTCTTCCCAGTCATCTAACCTAGGTAGGTATCAAACAATCTATTTCAGTTCTAGTGTTCTATCAGATCTTGCCTTGTAAACCTTACGCGCTCTAACGCGTCGACGGTGCTATCAAGAGGCGTTGCGTGTAATTGCTGCTCAGTCGTTATGATCAGTCCCCTGTAGCTGGTAAGTTAGTGCTATTTACGGCGGGCGATTATGCCTCTCAGCCCACTAGAAGTGGAACCATGTATTACATAAGTGCTCCATCGTTGCGGACAACAGGTATGTAGCTATATAGCGTGCATGGTTGAGATGAACCACAATCATCTCAGTTCTTTGCGAGTGCATCACATTCTGTTCACTTCAACACCGCCGCCCGTGGCTATCACGAAGCTCTTCACCGACAATCCCACCGCCCTGTAGGAGGCCTAAGGCAGAACCAAGGCAGCGAGGCAGCGAGACCTAAGGCACCTGGGCACTATATATTTCCACTCGCTGCCAGCTCCAAGCTTCCATCTTTCTTCTTCCACTCATCGCACATCATGGCGCCCAAGGCGCCCAAGGCGCCCAAGGCCTTGCAGCCCATCTCGGCCTTCTACCTCTTCTTTGCTGCAGGCCTGATCGCTGCTCTGTTCGCGCCCATCCAGGACTGCGACGAGACGTTCAACTACTGGGAGCCGGCCCATTATCTCTCCCACGGCTATGGCCTCCAGACCTGGGAGTATTCCCCAGATTATGCCATTCGCAGCTGGCTCTATGTTGCGCTTCATGCTCTTGTGGGCAATGTACGAAGGATACTGCCACAGTCCACCAAGGTAGGCCTTTGCTACGGCATGTGTGACGGCTATTATCAATGGAATGAGTGACTAATGGCTGCTAGGTTTCTGAATTCTACTTCGTCCGCTACGGCTTGGCCTTTGTCTGTGCCATTTGTCAGACTATCATGTTCCAAGCTGTGAGCATAGCACTCAATGCCAGGATCGGCCTCTTCTTTCTCGTCATCACCATCATAAGCCCGGGAAATTTCCATGCGAGCGCCGCCTTCTTGCCCTCCAGCTTTGCCATGTACGCGGGGATGCTTGGCGCTGCATCTTTCATGAACTGGCGGGGCGGGTTGAAGACTTGGCAAGGCATGACGTGGTTTGCTGTGGCTGGCATTCTTGGCTGGCCTTTTGCTGCCGCCCTTTGCGTGCCGTATGTCCTCGAAGAACTCATTCTAGCCGTGTTCAGCGATAAGGACTCTCTGATCGAAGCTTTGATACGGCTTGTTCGTGGCGTCATCGCCTCTCTCATTGTCCTGGTAAGTCGAATGCACTGAAGCCTTTTGGGAGGTGAACATTCACTTACGCCAATTTCCTAGTTCTTTGACTTTGCGGTCAACTTGTTCTTTTACAAGAAACCTGTAGTTGTTTCTTGGAACATTGTCAAATACAACATTTTCTCGAAAACCGGCGGTCCTGATCTTTATGGAACAGAGCCATGGACGTTCTATTTCAAGAACTTGACGTTGAACTTCAACATCTGGTTCATCCTTGCCCTGCTGGTGTTGCCGCTATTCCTGCTACAAAAGGCATCTTCATCTTCATCACAACGCTTGACCAGCGGCCTTCGAACTGTCATTTTCATTACGCCGTTCTACATGTGGCTCATAATTTTCACCGCACAGCCGCACAAAGAAGAGCGGTTCATGTACCCTGCATACCCCTTTCTGGCTCTCAACGCCGCATTATCACTACACATCATCTTGTCCGCCATCGGTAGCTCAAACCCAAAGACATTGATTGGAAAAATCCCCGGTCGCCTGAAACTGCTTGCCGTCGGTCTTGTGCTCTTTCTCTCGCTTGATATTGCCATTGCCCGTATCTACGGCATCTACTCCGCGTATTCTGCCCCACTGAAAGTATATTCTCCGTTATGGGGTGATGAAGGGGGAAACACCTACGGAGCCGAGGAAGATAACGTATGCTTCGGGAAGGAATGGTATCGCTTCCCAACTTCGTACTTCCTCCCACGCAACATGCACGCGAAATTCCTGCGCTCCGACTTCCGCGGCTTGTTGCCTGGAGAATTTTCCGAGGCCCAGACCGGCTTCGGCTTCTGGAGTGGCACTTGGCTCCCCACCAGTGGTCTGAATGACCGCAATCAAGAGGACTTGGGCAAGTACGTCGAGCCTCGAATGTGTTCTTTTTTGGTCGACACCCAGTATCCAGAAAGGAATGCCCCGCCGTCACGCGGGGAACCAGACTACATCGCAGACAAGCACCACTGGGAGCCGCTCAAGTGCGTTGACTTCCTCGATGCTGCCAGCACGCACATCTTGGCGCGCACACTGTGGCTCCCTGATATCGCTGCCGTCCCTGCAAAGTATCAGCGCAAATGGGGACGTCATTGCCTCCTTCAGCGCAAAGGGAGTGGTCGCGATGCCGGCATGTGGGTCGACCCCGGCCAGATGATGATGGGTTAGCGAGCAAGGGGTGTAAAGAAAAATAGGGACCGCAAAATAAATATGCACATAAAAGATTAAAAGTCAAACACTATTTTATTGATAGAAAAGTCATTCAGCAGCCTACCTAATTCTATTACCTAACACCAGACCTTAAACATATAGCTTAGTAGCAGTAGTAGTAGTAGTAGTCGGAGCAGTAGTAGTGGTAGTAGGAGCAGTAGTAGTAGTAGTAAGAGTAATAGTAGTAGTAGTAAAAGTAATAGTAGTAGTAGCAAAAGTAGTAATAGTAGTAATAAGAGTAGTAATAGTAGTAGTAAAAGCAGTAATAGTAGTAATAAGAGTAGTAATAGTAGTAGTAAAAGCAGTAATAGTAGTAGTAGGAGTAGTAGTAGTAATAAGAGTAGCAATAGTAATAGTAGGAGCAGTAGTAGTAGGAGCAATAGTAGCAGTAATAGCAATAATAACCTACAGCAGTAGCGGCAGTAGCAGGTGCTGGGTTGCTCCATGTAGTGTTATTATAGTCTAGTGTGTAAAATTGAGAAATGTGTGCTGATGATTGAAGAAATCCCTCTTTTTCTTCGCACCCCTTGGCGAGTTCGTCTCGGCAGTTCCCTTCCTCAACCTTTTTTGCCGTTTTCCCTCTTCTTCTTCCTCTTCCCCTTCTTCCTTTTCTTTCTCTTCTTTACATCTGCAGCGTCTCAGCATTCATCACTTTTCTTCTTTGATCAACAGTCATGTACTTTGCAAACACGTCTATCGCAAGCTGGGTTCGGGACCATGTCCCAACACCACCCGCCATTCTCAACTGGATTTGGCACTACATTCTGACGCTTCTCCCTCTCCCGCTATGGCTATTATCGTATGACTGGCCCAAAGTTTGGGAAGATGCAGCTGCCGGAGTTGCTCTCAGCATGGTTGTAATACCTCAATCCATTGGTTTCGGAATCATGACGCATATCTCCCCTATGCACGGTCTATATACAACGTTTGCGGGCCTCGTGCTGTACTAGCTGTACGGCGAGTCTAAGCATGTTGTTATCTCGGTATGTTCAGGCTTGCCTTTTTTTTTTTTTTTTTTCTTTTTTGCCGCCAAATCCTAACTCAACTGTCAAGGCCACGGGAGTATCATCACTCCTCACTGCGGACGCCACATGGAGGACATTCGACAAAGTGGGCCTTGGGTTTTACACCCCAGAACAAGTAGCCCAGCTACTTGCAATTATGTCTGGCCTAATCCTCGCTATAATAGGCGCACTCCGACTTGGATGGTTGCTGAGCTTGATCCCAAAAGCTGCGATCGATGCATATGCCACCGCGGTCAGCCTCAAGTTAATTATCAGCCAGCTCCCTGCCTTGCTTGGTATTATGGGCGTGTCAAACGAGGGATCGCCGTTTGTTGTGTTAGTCAACGTAATTTACTACCTCGGTGAAATTTCTATTGACGCAGCATTCGGAATACCCTCTGTTGTTTTTCTTGGTATCGTTGGATACGCATGCGAACTCCTAGCTATGCGGTATTCGCACCAACGACGCTCATGGAATTTCGTTTGCACGCTGCGTTTTCCAGTTGTCATCGCCTTGTCAATATTGTGCAGCTGGTTGATTTACCGCGGGCACGACGGCGGTCCAATCCACACAGTGGGCGAGATCGATTCAGGCTTTATACGCGCCCATCTTCCCATGGTACCTAGTCTCGACCAGTTCACGAACCTGTGGACTGAACTGCCTGCCATAGTCTTGATGATGGCGGTCTCACAAGCGGCTCTAGCTCAGAGATTGGCGACATCGAACGGATACACTGTCAATAACTCGCAGGAGCTCATTGCTCTCGGAGTCATCAATATATTTGGTCCTTGTGCTGGAGGTTACCTGGCAATGGGCTCATTCAGCTCATCCAATATCCTCTCAATGGCAGGCAGTCGATCGCAACTGGCAGGAATATTTGCCGCTTTGATGGTCGTGTTGGCGCTCTATCTTCTCATGGGGGTCTTTGCATACACTCCCATCGCGTCACTTGCTGGCTTGGTCATTTTCTCCATGTTCACCGGCTTGCCCCGGCCAAAAGCTCTCCATCAATATTGGCGACTTTCACTCGTCGATTCGTTGATATGGGTCTTATCTGTGGTAACGGGATTGATTTACTCGTTGGAATGGTCGCTGTACGTTGGAACGATGGCGAGTTGGCTTCTCAATTGCGTTGTTTCATTCCGCAAACGAAGCATACATGTCTCATATCCAGGCGTTCTGGTTTATCGCTTCAACAGCAGCTTTTGTTTTTTCAATCAAAGGCATCATTTGGAGTCGGTATACAACCAGTATCAGGAAAAGTCCCCCGCCGTCCATGCCATTGTCTTCGATTTTAAGGAGATTGATCATCTTGATCTGGAATCAGCGCAAGGTCTTAGTGGGCTGCGGTTAGCGTTGGATGCAGGGATGGAATTTCATTTTGTGGGCGTCAAACATTTCTGGGTGAGACGGACCTTGGCAGGCGCTGGCTTCGACAACTTTCACGACTGTGTGCAAGATGCTGTAGATGCGGCGACTAAGGGGGCATAAATTTACTATAATTAGGTAGTAGTCTTACCTCGGCATCAATAATGAGTAGTCTATTACATTGCAGTGTGTGTCTGGGTAGACGTGTTCTGTATGTCGTAACCTTCCATGACAGCAATCCAAATGTCGTCCAAGTGATGATAGAGGGCCACCGTAATAGAGTCTTCACCCCATGCCGTGTTTTATATGCCTGCTGAGCGAGACCACCAAAGACAGCATTTATGCTAAATCACGGCTTGCTACGCGAATACGACGAATAAATGGGGGGTTGAAAAATTGGACCATAACAGCGAATTGTGCGAAGTGTTGTGGATTTCTCAAAGAGCTATATATATGTATCATCATGTATGACTATGGTCATTAAAAGTGAACATTCGTTTGCGAACTACAAAAATTAGCCCCCCTCACATTTCTTCAATTTCCTGCAAACGTTCAAGGTAGTCTTCTCGGAGGCGCCTGAGGTACCCTAGAAGAGCTTCCGGATTTGAGGACTTGGCAGCTTGTTTCAGTGCCTCATACAAGTTCAGCATGAGCTTCTGCCGATGTATCTCCTTATGTGACTCGGAATTCTGTTGGTTCGACTCCCGCCTCCTTCTCAGATCATTTGCCACCGTCTCTGCGACTTCAATGAAGCTGCTAGGCATTCCCATTGCTCGGGCCAAAACAATTCCATAGTGATGCTCGTCATCGACGGTACCCGCAGTGGCTTTGTAGAGCATATTTAACTGAGGCATCCCCCCTTCATCAATAGAAGTATTGGACGCAAGATGAAGGTTGAGAACTCCTGGGCGATCTGCTAGTACTCGAACCATTTCGATAAAGTGAGTTGCAAACCAGATAGATGCTCCCGTGTCAATCAGTGCTTCAGATATAGCCATTGCAATTGCCATACCATCCCTATTGCTTGTTCCACGGCCAAGCTCGTCAATTATTGCGAGACTTCGGCTATCCACATTCTTCAATATGAAGGCCATTTCTCTCATTTCTACTCCGAAGCTGGATAAATTTGCCTCTATACTGTCCTGAATTGATATACGGGCAAATATGTTGTGTATAATAGGAAAGGCGGCGAATTCTGCTGGCACGAAACATCCAATCTGTGCCATTATCTGAAGCAAGGCAACCGATCGGATGTATGTGCTCTTGCCACTCATATTGCAACCTGTCACAAAGTGAAACCGATACTGTTCTGTAGCATAGTAGTCATTGGGCACATATTCACTTGCCATTTTCTGTGAGGGGGAATTAGTACAAAATGCATAAGACGTTTTGCTACGCGGACATAGAGTCACCTTGTCGAGAATTGGATGCCTTGCCGATTTCAGCGCCAGCGTTTCTTCAATTAAAGGCCTCACATAATCTCGAGTTGTGGTGACTTGACCAAACGATGCAATCATATCCAGGAGTGCGATTGATTCGCATACTCTGAACAGCGGAGAAATTTCTTTTCGAAGGTCTCTGACCAACTTGAGAATGATTTCGTCACTCCGCAGCATTACCTCGTTGGAAGTATCTGCTACTCTGCGATTTAGCTTAACAAGATCAAGGGTCTGGCACTCAATATGTTTCTTCTTCCAAATGACGTTTATGAAATGCTGGGATACTGATTCGAGGTCAAGATCTGCGGTGGGTATTCGCAACCAATACATGCGTCGGTTGTCAAATTTTAAAGCCACTGCAACCCGATGCTCTTCTGTAGGCGGAAAAGGTGTGAGCTTCGGAGATCCAAAGAGAGTTTGTGATATTCTTAGTACATACCGCCAACACCAGTTGAATACTGGCCAATGTATTCGGTAAGTTCTTTATAAGTCTGGCGAGCGACATCCAACATGCCGCTGATGCCCGATTTGACCGCGAATGCTCTTTGGTTACGTAAATCTAGCGGTGACTTCATGTATGTAACGTCTGCTTCGATGACCTTCTTGATCATGAGTAAAATGGGAACTGTCGTCTCGGGACAACATAGATTGCGGATTTTGACTAAAAGGTTGCACTCTGCTGGATAAAGCGCTTGGTAGATCTCTGGAACTGATTCTAGGAAAGATTTGATCATGAGGATGTGAGTAATCTGTTCTTCGGCCGCAGATATGCCTGTAGCCGGTCGAATGGTAATCAGCTATGCTTATTAGCCACACTGTATTAATACATTGGCGCAATTGCCTTACCTTTGTCAAAGTTCTCTCGACATCATGGAATAGTTTAAGGGCTAAGACCAGGTTAGCAGCTAATTGACACGCTCCGTGTGCTCATATGTACCTTTACGAATTTCACGAAACATTTCTTCGCGGCTGACCATCTCTTCCAGCGCGTCGTATCGAACTCTAATAACTCCATTAAAATCGATGGAAGGCTGGAGCATGTTATTGCGGAGCACGCGGGTTCCCATTGGCGTAAGGGTATGATTCAATAGCCCAAACAGGCATTCTTTTGACTTTGCAGACATCAAATTGCGCATCACTTCTAGTGATTGCATCGCAGGTATTGCAATCATCATCGTATCTTCGGAAGGTTGATATCCAATACGCAGAGACTGAAGAGAGAAGGTCACGTCGAATTGGTGATCGATGTATTTCATAGCCTGGAGCACACACCATAAGCTTCTTCAACGTAGAAAGATAGATGATTCCATGACTTACGGCAGAAAGACAGCAGACTGCGTAATATTTGCCTTGGGTAGCCACTTTTAACGACCCAATGTCGCCGTCAAGGGCGAGATGTTCCATATACTCTATCCCGGCGGATTCGGACCAAGCAGAGCGCTCATGACAGGCAGTCTCCGCCTCAGGTACCAGTTTTTCAACGAGAGAGAACAAAGTACTGGGCCGATTGGGAGCGCACGCGGAAGGCATGAAGACTATTCGAGAAGGCGATGCCAGTTGAAGCTTATGAATCGTCTTCACATAGGACTGGTTGTCGCATATTTGACTGAGAGTAACTTCACCTAGTGACAAATTGACATTGGCAATACCAACTGTAGGTGTGATGCCGCGAGATTCGCTCACTGCGCAGATGATATCATTGGATTCGCTCTGCCCAAGGATAGACGGCGTAGCACCCCTTCGAGAACGACGACCCGAGGGAGTGCTGGGGCGAGAAATAGCTGTTGAAGTGGTGGTTAAGGTGACACTTGGTCTTGAGCTAGAAACAGATGGAGAATAGTTGGACGGGGCCTCGAAATGATCCTCGAATTCATCTTCATCATAAGCCTGACTGGCTTGGCTATAACTGCGCTGAGACGGGAGGCTGGGCGAATCGGGCGGAATTGAGCTGGAGAAGTAAGAAGAAACTGTACCCGTCGTTCGAGGAGATGGTTCAGATGAAAACGACATGGTTGACGGATGGGTAAGGAATTTTCTGATGCGCAATTCGCTGAAAAGGATCTAGGAGTGCTGTGGCATACAAGGTAAGTCAATCAGAACAACACACAATGAGATGAGGTCGGGAGGACAATATGGTGTTGAAATGCAGTTTCCATGGCATCTGTGTGTGAACTGGGCCGATGATTTGTCTCTGATCACTTGAGATTATAGAAGAAGAGGAGAAATTATACGGCGTCACGGGCTTCTCATTTCAAAGACTGATAGCTGTTGCTCTTGCCCTCTGTTCTGTCGCCTGTTTGCAGATAGGTACTCAATATCGGCAGATACCTAGAGGCAGGTAGGATTCACCAGGGCATTGCACGTACAGGCGAATGGACGGTACCTTGCCAGTACCGGCATTAATGGCGTCTGGGGAGATGCTTGTCTGCCACTGGCTGCTGGTGCGTACCAATCACAGCGCAGGTGCCCCCAGGTACAGGACCGGGGAGCTGAGTCATGGCTCCCAGGTACCGCGGTTTAGCCCGAATCTTCTCCCAAAACAACCTTCTTCTCCACGTCTCGACCGCGCAGTGACGCCACGAATCACATTTAACACACACAGGTCCGACTTCAAATCCACACGCCCCTAGTGAAGCAGCGCGAACCAGCCTCTTGCCAGCCATGTTTGGGATCCTCGAGGCCGTTGCTGTGCCGCACGCCGGCGTCTTCAGCACCTACGAGGAGCTGATCAAGGACCTCAATGGGCGGATGGAGAAGGAGGGCTATAAGATTGTCAAGGCTAGGTCGCATCGCTCCAGAATGGGTGGTGCTGACATCCCTGGAAATGACATCGTCCGCTGTGATCTCGTGTGTGATCGTGGTGGCCGGCCGTATAAGTGCATGGCTACCAAGCACAAGACAACCACCAAGAAGACGGACTGTCCCTGGAAAGCCAAAGCAGTCAACCGCAAGAGTATTGGCGGCTGGGTGCTGACCATTTCTTGCGACCAGCATAACCATGCTCCCGGCACTCCAGAGCCACCAACGCCATCTGAGATGAGCGAAGAAGAAAATGACCTGACCGAGCTTCCAGGTTCGTGACGGAATGGCTCAAGAGTGTCCATGGATGAATTCTAACTAGCATTTTGATAGACATGGACGACGGCCCGCGGCCCGATGCACAGACAGCGACAGCAATTCAACTGGCTGGTGTCTCTGAATCAAATCTTCGTTTAACAGGCGACACTTTCCACCAACTCAAGTCTGACTACCGCAAGATGCCACAGCCAGACCGGCTGAATGCGCTTGCGCAGTTTCAGATGCAAATTGCAGCTATTTACGCAGTCCAGAATGAGGACTGGCAACGTCAGCGGAGACAGGAAGCTCAAGACAAGCGGCACTTGCAGGTGGAAAAAGGCCGCAGACAACTATCAACCCAGAGACAACGTGCACGTCGCCAGAGACGACAAGACGATCAACCGCAGCAGCATCAACATCAGCAAAGTCTTGATCAGCAAGCGGTTCATCATCAACTCCAGCAGGAAGCACAAAACAGTCATCTCCAGCCATTGATGCAAGAGCCGCATTTCCAGCTTGCACAGAATCCTGCCGCGACGCCTGTTCCCCTCCCTGCCGGGATAACTATGACCACAATTCCCACAGCGTTTGCTCATTTCACCGGCCCGCCCAAGCGCATTCGCGGCC